ATAACTATACCAAAGCCAAATCTAGACCACTCAAGAACAGCCAATTATCGGCCAATAACATTACTGCCTGTATTAGGAAAAAATATTGAAAAAATAATCAAAAACAAGCTTGAACAAGAGATTGGAAACAGGATTCCCCCATATCAATTCGGCTTTAGAAACAAATGTTCTACAATACACCCCCTAACTATATTAACCAATAATATTGAAACGACAAGATTAAATGGAAGAAAAACAGCCGCCATTTTCCTAGACATCCACAAGGCCTTTGATAGCGTATGGCTCAGGGGTTTATTGTTCAAACTCAACCAATGTAACTGCCCCCTGTTTCTACTCATGTCGGTGGCCAGTCTGTTGAAGGACAGGAAATTGAAAGTTAAAATCGCAGATAAAACATCTTATGAATTTATTCCAGAACAAGGACTCCCACAAGGCTCACCTCTTTCACCATTGCTATACAATATTTACTGTGCAGACATATATGATCAAAACACACAACATTTTAACATGGACAACTACATATTACAATATGCAGATGACACTGCACTTATTGCTCATGGCAACTCTATTAGAACAACCACAAGCAAGTTACAAGATCTATGCAACTCAACGATGCAATGGTTTTGCAAGTGGCGACTGCAACCCAACCCGATGAAATCTCATTTTATTCTTTTCAACCACACTCCCAACTACAACTCACCATATATACAATTATTCAACCACCAATTACATCCACAGCAATCCATTAAATATTTAGGAATCCGTTTAGACAACAAAATTAATTTCAATAAACATACACAAGAAACCAAGAGAAAGACTATAGCCAGAGCCAGGCACTTTAAATGCTTATCATGGAAGAATGACGGAATAAAATTGCATACAAAATGTAGAATCTACAAAATGATTTGTCGCCCACTTATTGAATACGGACATGTAATCTTCCAAAACCTCAAAACATCGGCATGGAAGAATTTACAGGTTGCAGAAACATCTTCTCTTCGAGCTGTCACAAAACTAAGACATCCCAACAATCCACTGCACAATCCGCCTAACCAGCTTCTGTATCTGACAACACACGTACTTCCAATTCAGCAACGCATTAGTCAACTCAATCAAAAGTTCAAGCAGAAGCCAGACAATATAGCCAAAATTGAACCATACTCCATCAGAAGACTACCAGAAAGAGCAAGATACCAACACCCTGAGAGAACAATATGGGAAAAACTATCCGAAAACTAACTAAACATATTTGCGGGCATATTTGCTATAAGTATTATTGTGTCGTTTTTCATATATTTTTTTTTTTTTGTAACAAATACCTAATATTGTGAACAAAGATATTTTATATCCATGATTTTTGTAAACTCATAGGCTGAAGGACCTCGGTCAATGGCCTTTTGAACTGTATCGTTCAATAAAGATCTATTATATATAAATGAATTAATGACCTCGTAAACCTTCGTCGGTTCTCAAAATCAGGGCTTGTATTCTCGTAGCCGGAGAACAGGATTGCTCTGTCTTTGTCACTATTATGGGCGACTATGACAGAGAAATCGTTCTTATGAGAGCGCTGTTCCCCGGTTACGAGAATACGGGCACAGAAGCAATTTATTAAAGGACCCCGCACACCTCTTATGGGATTTGGGACTTCCGCCGGTGCCGGTACACTTCACGGACAGGGTCTGGTGCACTATAAAGTACCTCGATATTTGCAAAAATTTCAAAATTCAAAAAGTGAGGAGTTGTGTATAGTATAGTTTAAAAGCCAAAAATCTGAGGATCATGTACTTTTTTTTTGTTGAAAACTAATTAATCCAAACCAAACCAAACAGCTGGGCACGTGCTCGTAATAAGTGCTAGTATGTTGGCATTTATCATTTAGAAGGAAAAAAACCTAAGAAAAAAGAAAAACTTCAGAAAAAGGTAACGTTAGCGCAAATAACTAGGTATAAATTGGATTTTATAAATATTGAGTGAATCCTCTTGTCAACCTTTGACACAGATCAATATATAAATATCTATTCTTATCAGCCTAATATCACAATCGCTCTGGTTAGCAAATAAAAATGAAAAGCATCATGTGGTAAATATTCGAACTGAAAGAAGAGCTAAGTGTTCAAATCATTTTTCGAAAAAAACATTATTGAGTAATGATAAAGCGTGTAATACCTATTTAACTATTGAAATTTGTAGGTACACTCTAACCAACAGTAACTACTGTGTCGTATTGAAACTGATCAAAAACATGCAAACTAACCCATCTATTTTGAGATAAAACTTAACTGTCTATAAAGAAAAAATAGTTTTGAGGTACCTACTTATAGTGCACCAGAACTTTTAAATATAACACCTTGAAATTTAAATAATTTATGAGTTTTCCATTGCTCGCTCCACTCACCAAACCTGAAATAGAATATCTTCGGAAACGTGAATCCACTAAAAACTTGAAAAACCCTTTTGTAAATATAGCCTTGAAATTTAATTTATTTTTTTTTGTTTTTTTTTTCTTGGATTGCGCGCTCCGCTCGCCAAGTCTCAAAGAGAAGATCTTTGGAAACGTATATCCACCAAAAACGGGAAAACCTTTAAATATAACGCCTTGAAGTTTAATTTATTTATTTATTTTTTCTTGGATTGCTCGCTCCTCTCGCCAAATCTCCAAAAAAAGATCCTCAGAAACGTAAATCCACAAAAACGTGAAAAACCTTTTTTTAAATAAACACCTTGAAATTTAAATTATTTTTTTTTTTCTTAGATTGCTCCTTGTTTCACGAGAAAAATGTACAAAGAATATAGGTAGTTTAACGTGAACAAGCATCACTCAACACAGAGTGGAAATGATTGATCAAACAAGTACTTTCAAAAATACCCTGGGTAGGTATACCATTTTAAACAAAACAGGCTAAATATCTGATGTCACTTCTCTTTTTTTTTGAATCGCTCATACTCGTAATTTGATTGTGTGAGTGTTTGAAACATTTTTAGCATTAAGTTAACTCTCTAGAGGGGGTGAGACCAACCCTTACCATTCCAAATGGAACAGGGGGTCAAGTGATACCTATTCCAAAATAGCATTCAGTTTTCTTTCAAATGACATCAAACGAAACAGAATTGAACTCTATTTTTAAAAAAAGTATCACTCGACCCCTTGTTCCATTTGAAATAGTAACTGCTTAAAATGGTTTCAGAAAACTTTCCCCATTGAAAATTAAAATACGTGTATGAGCGATTTTTTTGAAAAAAAAAAACGTGGCATCAGATATTCAACCTGTTTCATTTTAGATGGTATACCCTGTATATAGGCACCTAACTTAAAATATGCACCTTTCTCTAAAACTTCTAAACTTATTCAACATTTTTTAAAGCTACACCTATCACAAATAAATGCGAAATGCATGAAAATTCAGAAGTTTCAGGTTGCCTGAGGTAATATTAGAAAAACCGCCGTATATCTGGAACTAGTCATAGGATCGGTTTGTACCGGGGTTTGTACCCATGAGAACTTTTACTCAGGAGGTCAAAATATACAACATACCAAAATTTGGTTAAATTTCGCGTTCAACCAAAATCCCATAAGAAGTGTGCGGAGTCCATTTAACCAAATTTTAGTATGCAATAGATTCCACCTTTCTGATCAATAGCTACCATGGGCCCAACTTAATCATATGACTAGTTTTTGAAATACAGATAGTTTAATGTTCAAGAAAAAATGTACTCATTTTATATGCATTTACATCTACCTGTCACTTGAGCGTGAGGATACCTATCCATCCAAAGCCGATTGCACAAAACTACTTTGCAACTTTTCACTTTACACTTTGCACTTTGCATATCGTTTTCTGTTGCACCAATGCTATTTGCAAAGTCCATTATGCAAAGTGAAAAGTGATAAAAGAAAAGTGGCGAAGAGATGAACTTTTCAAAAAATATTTGATAAGCATTGCACCAACAATTTTTTGTCAAAAATTTTTGAAAAGTTTGTCAAATATTTCGCAAGGAGAAATTTGTCTTATCATAGAAATGACCAGAAGAAGAATTTTTCCCAGTGACGAAAGTAGCGACGAAGAAAGAACATGGAAATGAAAAGTTTAGACTACAAAATAAAGTAATGAGAATTTTACTGAACTGTAATAGGTATAGGTACTCCAATTAAACAAATGTTAAATACTCTGAAATGGTTAAACGTTGAGCAGTACATAGTTAGAGCGAACTTAATCCTAATATACAAAATGGAATATAATTTACAGCCTGCTTATTTGAAATCGTGTCTTGAACGGAGATCAACTTTTCATAATCACAATCAACAGTTCAATATTTCCAGAGTAAACACAACAGCATTACAAAAATCAATATAATGTACTGCCGGATAACTTGAAAAATGCACCAAGCTTGAAACTCTTTAGCAATGAATTGAATGTATTCTTAATAAGGAATGGACAATGATATACTTTTATTTTTTATTGTAAATGTGTTGTATTGCTACGTGATACTAGCCAAAGGCTAAATAGACTTATTATTTACTATTATTAGAAGTGAAGCTGTGTATTTCACGATAATTACCAGTGAATAAATTATATTGGCTCCACACTGGCCACTTGCAACTTAAGCATTCAACAAAAATGTCCAAAAGTCTCAAAAATACAATTTCTATTGATATTAAAAGACATTGAACCTAATGTTTGTGTAATAAATCAATATTCAAGTCCCATGGAATTTCATGCAGAATTACCATAGATACTGCTGCAAAATGTTTCAAAATGTTATACATACTTTTTGGTTGCTTGTAGGGAAGTTAAACAAGGATTCATTAGGCCTGTTTTAAATAATGAATTTTAGTGTGAACCATAAAATTTTGACTTAAGTTCAACTTTGGTACAGTTTATAGAGATTTCAATAGGTACTGTTTAAAAGTTGATTAACCTTCAGAAAAATCAATCAACAAATTAAAAGCCGGTAATAATGATATAATATTTCTTATTACTCATCCACATTTTCTTTAGCTTTCCAGATAAGCTTTGCCCAGCAATCCAACACAGAGATATCCCAATTGGAAACCTTCTACTACAACAAATGCTTGAAAAACACCGGACGACAAGAAGCGTTTGAAAAACTACGCACCAACGCCTACGAAATGTACAAATACTTCGAATACGCCTTCCAATATTTGCCAGACAAACGAAAAACCTTTTGCGATAGCGAGCGGTCAAATCTAGTTTACAGAGTCAAGGAAATCGAAACTGATTTGAAAACTTGTTTGGATCAGCAAGAGAAATTTTTAGCCGGCTTTTTCAGGAAGAGTTTCGAGGAGTTTTTACACTTTTTTTGTCATCATAATGGAGAATACTCTACAAGTAATAATTAAACCACTAAGCTGTAATTATTATATTAAATTATTTTTATAGGATTCTTCAGTATAGAAGGACGTCAATGCCGTGAAGCAATTGAAAATGCCAAATCTAGTGACCTGGATAATTGCCTTAACAGAATATTTGCTCCATCTAAAAGTCACATAACTCAACAGGAAATGTGCGAGTAAGAATTATTTTGTTCAGTTAATATTGCAGCTTATTATTATGTTTTGTTTCTAGTGATGTAACTGTGACCAAGAAATGCTTTGCTCAGCTTTTGGAGGTTCACTGTCCTACGTCTCGTGACATGAAACAACTCAATGGAATTTTCTTTGATTATCTTGCCAAACCTTGTTCCAGTTGTAGTTTTGTTGTTAATGGTTTTCTAGTTTTGGGTTTGGTTTTGATTAATTTATTATGGCGCTAAGGGAAAATTGGAAAAATCTTGCATTGCATTTTACTATAAATGATTCTCTAAAATACTTTTGTTGAATTTTTGTTGACCTTTTCCATTCTCAGGGAATACTAAACAATTGTATTTTTTTAGATTTTTACAATAATCTTGAGTATTATACATTTACCGGCTACTTGTTGGAATTTTAAATAATGATTAGGAATTTTAATTGTTTAATTGATGAATTTTTTGAGTGATGCCTGTACGCTGCTAGTCTTTTTACATTTTAGAATTTAGTGTAGTTTTTTTTTTTTGCTGATAAGATAAATTTAGTGGAGGTGTGGTTCTATGAATAATTTTTAAATCTCTGTAATACTCAAATCTAGTTTATTATAATTATACCTTTACTAACAATTTTACTGTAAGCGATTTCCATAAATATTGTCGCCTTATTTCTTAGGTGCAGAATGTCGAATTAAGCTACACTTAAAGTGCTTGTGATAAAAACAAATATATTTTTTAAGTGTAAGATTCCTGCATGAGTTGAGTATATTGTGTCAAAAATTTTACTATAAATATTGGGAAAATTTCTATTTAATTAATTTTAACTGAATTGCCAAGTCAAAATGCACAAGTCTTAGGTACTTAAATTGAAAAGTTTACTCTTCAAGGTACAAATATTTACTCACCTATTTATTAGAATATTGATGTTGATATTTTGCTTAAAACATAAAATTATATTCATCCAGATAAAAGCCTTTTATTGTCCCAATCTAGCATGATAATTGAAAATCTTTTGTAAGAAAGAACTTGTGAAAGAATACCCAGACAGCACAAATACATCTGGAATGTTCCTAATGGTTTATCGAAGCTCCAAAGTGTTCCAACTTGGCTTGAAGAATTCTGGAGCATTTAAGAAAATTGTCAGTGATTTCTAAATTGTTTTGACAGATTTTTAAGTATCGAGCCCTATATTGAAGCTCCAAAGTGTTCTAAATTGGTTCAAAAGAGTTCTGAAAGGTTTCTAGTTCTAAACTAAATCCTAATTGTTCTAAAATAACTCTGAAGTTTCTAAATTGTTCCAAAATGCTCCTGAAAATCATGATTTGGATTTGAACTATTTTTACTAAAGTTTTACAGTAATCTAAATTCGCTCTTAGAAACCTTATTCTGAAAGGCGTTTTGTAACTTTTAACCTAAATCTTATAAGATTCAAGCACATTTCAAAATGTTTCTGAAGGTTTTGAACTTTTCGAAAAGCTTATCAAAGTTCTGAAGTGTTCTGTAGTATTCTAAAATGGTTTTCACTGCTGAATTGATTGGAAAACTAATTTTGGAGGAGATTTTTGGGGATATCTTTTTTAAGATGTCCACAAACGACTCACCTTACTTCTTTAATGCGTCTTGAAGACATCTTAAAGAGGTCGTATGTTACAAAACCCAACGTTTTTCAGAAGTTTTTAGAACTAAGACCCAGATATCTTAAAGACGTTTTGGAATCTCTTTTCAATATATAAACCCTTATTTACTTTTAGGTCTGGTAGTAGGAACCAAATAGTATGGCTCATCTGTCTTTAAGATGTGAATTTACGACATCTTATGGATGTCTTCAAAACAACCTTTTCTAGATGTCTTTTTTTGATCTTCAGTTCTTACGAGAAGAAAAATTAAGAAAATTGTGCAGAAAATTGGAAATTTCTAAAGTAAACGGCGGGTGATACATAGAAAAATGAATTCCTATTTCCCTTGGTCACTCCATAACTTGAGAACGACTTGACCAATTTCATTTATCTTGTTCTCTCAAGTTTTCCAATACTCTGTATATTCCGTCGACTTTAATCTGATACTCCAAAAGAATGTGAGCCTAGTGGCACCTTGCACCTTACATTAAAACGCCAATGGTTAGGTACCTGACGTCACACCTATTTTTGCCATGTACTTCAACCCCTCGCTCCTCATACGGAAAGTGTCAGATTAAAACCAAAGGACAATAGAAGTTCATCACGAAAAAAAAAAATTAAGAAAACTGCGCAGAAAATTGGAAAATTCTAAAGCAAATGGCGGGTGATACATATAAAAATAAATTCCTATTTTCCGTGGTCACGCCATAACTTGAGAACGACTTGACCAATTTCATTATTCTTGTTTTCTCAAGTTTTCCAATACTCTGTAGAAGGTTTCTTCGAAAAGATAAATTAAGAAAATTGCACAAAAAATTGATAAATTCTAAAGTGAACGACGAGTGATACCTACATATAAAAATGAATTCCTATTTCCCTTGATCACGCCATAACTTGAGAACGACTTGACCAATTTCATTTATCTTGTTTTCCCAAGTTTTCCAATACTCTGTAGAAGGTTTCTTCGAAAAGATAAATTAAGAAAATTGCACAAAAAATTGATAAATTCTAAAGTGAACGACGAGTGATACCTACATATAAAAATGAATTCCTATTTCCCTTGATCACGCCATAACTTGAGAACGACTTGACCAATTTCATTTATCTTGTTTTCCCAAGTTTTCCAATACTCTGTAGAAGGTTTTTTCGAAAAAAAAAATTAAGAAAACTGCGCAAAAAATTGGAAAATTCTAAAGCAAATGGCGGGTGATACATATAAAAATGAATTCTTATTTCCCTTGGTCACGCCATAAATTGAGAACGACTTGACCAATTTTATTCTTCTTGTTTTCTTAAGTTCTCCAATACTCTGTAGAAGGTTCTTACGAAAAGAAAAATAAGAAATAAAGCAGAGAGAACATGATATAAAGAATACACAATATTGAATATAAAAGATATATGATACCTACACATCAGACAATTAAAGACCTAAGAAATTCAAAATAATGGAAAGTTGTAGAAGACAAATCAGACTTTCATCAAAATGAGTAGTACATGAACTATACTTTGGTACCTACATTCTATGCTGACAGTTTGTGGATTAAAACCTAGGTACTTCTCATTAATGTCAAAAGAAGAAATTGTGAACTCTATATATAGAAGGGTGAACAACAGGAAAATATTTTATACCTACAGTAATTCTTCAGGTTACTGCTCCCTAATTCTTTCAAACACTTTTTTAGGAATATCTTATTAGTATTTACAGCCTCTTGTTTCATACATATACCTAAAACTTATGGTGGATTTTTGCTTTAATTTTAAATATTTAACGAGAAGATGTCCTATTCTGATGGACTTTTTCGTCCTACAAGGACGAGATGAATTAACTCCAAATTTAATATTTCTTAGCTTAACACTAAATTTCCATGAAATGAAACGAAAAATGTATCAAGTGAATATAACTTTTCACATTAAAGTTTGAGCCGCATGCAGATTAATAAGATAAATCATAATATGATGAGTTATTTTTCCAAATAATATATTAGGGTTTTACATAGAAATATAATATAAAGTACAATACAAATTCCTAAAAATCTTCACCAGAGAAATAGTGTAACGAAAAAGGACTTCCTGGCTCTCAAACTTCCGGCAACAAATCGATTTGGGGAGGGTGCGCCATGCGCCATTAAAGCCACCCTTTCACCTACAAGGGAATCTACAAAATTTCCACCCTCGCATACACTTTGACGCCCTATAGGCATCCAGCTGTTTTTCATTGTCCCTTGTAGAAATGCAACCCCAAATCGATCCCCTTCGCTTATATCAAAGCTTTACTATCAGGGACGAGCGATGTCCAACGGGGAAACTTCCGTGTTTTTTTTTTTATATTATATTAGAAATATTTAGATTTTGATGAATTTGTGAGTTTTATATAGCGATTATATCAATCGGGAGTTTGTTAGTTTAAACATATCGTAGGAAATTTAAGGAAAAATCGGTGAAATATTGCAGTCGTACAACACTTTGGTGCTTTTGGTAAGCGGATGTTACTTACTTCACTTTATATATAGACGTTTGGGTCGTTTTAATGGAAAAAAATAATTACTAAATTGATTTATTTACCATGAGAATAAAATCCAATAAACTAGAGAATAAATTATTCAATGCATACCTCTCTTGTTAAAATAACATCAATTTTTATAAGTATAGGTATTTCATTGTACCTACTTCCATAAGTTAGTTCTGAAAATATAATACTTTTATTTTTTTATTTGCAATTTATCATATAAACTGTGCAACAGATGAAACTAATAGGTTTGTGTCAGCGAGTATACTGTTCGGATAATCCCTTTTGTGGTAATTTCGCTCTACCTAAGTAGGTATTAATAGGATTATCGTATTTCCATTAATGCCGCTAGAATTGATACTATTCGAAATGGAAATTTAAGTTTTTAATTCTTATGAGAAGTTGTACGTTTCTCAATAATTTGTTAAATGGAATATTTATTGAATGACGTTGAGAATAAGAGAAGTTTTTTGTCGATTTTTCACTTGTTACACTAAATATAGTAATAGTTGTCTCCAAACAGTCCAAACTATACATAAGTGAACTGTTTCTTCACTGAAATGAGAAACCTTTTACTTTTTGCAACTCAAAAATTGAATTACTTCGTGTTGAAGTTAAACATTAATTTCATCCTTATAGCCCGGACTAAAAAGTAAGTCAAAATCTTCACCTGATTTTTGTGAGAAACATTTCACAACCAATCTTGCATTATACTACTTTTCTAGAAAGCCATCTGGATTTATTTAAGAATACATAGCTTTTCTTCCTGTATAGGTAACTTATCTGAGACCCAATGTATCATTTGATCCACGGATGTCCATTCTTTCTTTATCCATGGCAATATTTCATTGGTTTTTGGATTGGCTCTCTATAACTATTGGGCTCTTCAGTCATAAAGTATAACTGATGCGACTGTCATTCGTAAATCTTTAAATTTAGCTAGTTATTTGAAACTCTGTCGCCTAAGTTATAAAATCATAAAACTCCATGAAGTTATACTTTCAGTATCCTCTCCATCATCTTCTATTCTTTCCTCTACTGAGTTCTGAATCTGAACATTCTTTTCTTGAACTAATTTATCTATCTTGGTCTTCTAAAGGAACTTCTTTATTGATTTCTTCACAACTTCCTTCCTTAAGGTTAGGAACATGTCTCATATTCTGATGATCCAGTGAACTCAGAGTCAATAAGTTCAAATGAAAAAAGCTGTTGCACAAATAGAATTAAAAATTTCCGAATCTCATCAAAGAAAGACAAGACAGACAAATTAGATTAAGATGACACAAGAAGATGAAATATAGACAAATCGATGGAATAAAATAAACTCTGGAAAATCCTGCCAGCGTTAAAAAATTTCGATTCAGGTATATTGATATATTTTGAGCTGATTTTTAATTTAAAACAAACCGCAACTCGCTAGCTTGAATCGTTCAAAAGTTATGAACTTTTTAAGATCAGTGAAGACTGAAATCTTATGTTTGCCATTAGACAACTCTCAAGCCCTGTACTTCAAACGATAGAAGCAAATTCCAAATAATTTTTTGACGCATATTGATGTATTTTGAGCTGATTTTTAGTTTAAAACAAACCGCAACTCGCTAGCTTAAATCGTTCAAAAGTTATGACCATTTTAAAACGAGTGAAGACTAAAATCCTGTGTTTGCCATTAGACAACTCTCAAGCCCTGTACTTCAAACGATAGAAGCAAATTCCAGATAATTTCTTGACGTATATCGATGTATTTTGAGCTGATTTTTAATTTTAAACAACCCGCAACTCGCTAGCTTGAATCGTTCAAAAGTTATGACCATTTTAAAACGATTGAAGACTAAAATCCTATGTTTGCCATTAGAGAATTCTCAAGCCTTGTACTTCAAACGATAGAAGCAAATTCCAAACAATTTTTTGACGTGTATTGATGTATTTTCAGCTGATTTTTGATTTAAAACAAACTGTAACTCGCTAGCTTGAATCGTTCAAAAGTTATGACCATTTTAAAACGAGTGAAGACTAAAGTCCTATATTTACCATTAGAGAACTCGCAAGCCTTGTACTTCAAACGATAGAAGCAAATTCCAGATAATTTCTTGACGCATATTGATATATTTTGAGCTGATTTTTAATTTAAAATAAACCGCAACTCGCTAACTTGAATCGTTCAAAAGTTATGACCATTTTAAAACGAGTGAAGACTGAAATCTTATGTTTGCCATTAGACAACTCTCAAGCCCTGTACTTCAAACGATAGAAGCAAATTCCAAACAATTTCTTGACGTATATTGATGTATTTTGAGCTGATATTTAATTTAAAATAAATCGCAACTCGCTAGCTTGAATCGTTCAAAAGTTATGACCATTTTAAAACGAGTGAAGACTGAAATCTTATGTTTGGCATTAGGAAACTCTCAAGTCTTGTACTTCAAACGATGGAAACAAATTCCAAACAATTTTTTGACGTATATTGAGCTGATTTTTAATTTAAAATAAATCGTAACTCGCTAGCTTGAATCGTTCAAAAGTTATGACCATTTTAAAACGAGTGAAGACTAAAATCCTATATTTACCATTAGAGAAATCGCAAGCCTTGTACTTCAAACGATAGAAGCAAATTCCAGATAATTTCTTGACGCATATTGATATATTTTGAGCTGATTTTTAATTTAAAATAAACCGCAACTCGCTAGCTTGAATCGTTCAAAAGTTATGACTATTTTAAAACGAGTGAAGACTGAAATTTTATGTTTGTCATTAGACAACTCTCAAGCCTTGTACTTCAAAGGATAGAAACAAATTCCAAACAATCTCTTGACGTAGGTACCAGAAATTGGAAATATTGCAATCAAGAAAGCATCAACTAATAAACAAACAAAACATTTTTATAGAGTAGCGTCTCTTGTCTCTTCTATTTTCTTTCTAATCCATTATAGTCCCTTTAAAAGTTTCTGCAACATAAAACAGACAAAAGGCTTTTGATACTTTTTGTTTTTCTAGCCTCCTATAGTTCAAAAAGCCATTCATTTCATTGCATTTCCAACAAAACCTCTCCTCCAACTTTTTCGATTAATTAAAAAACCAAACGTGAAGTACACTTATACTGTAAATTATAATGCCAATTAAAAACTTCACTCCAACGTTGAAGTAGGAACGTTTTTAAAGCGTCCCCCTAGGTAATTAACTCCTTTGTCTATGTTGTATATTTAAATAGAGTTTCCTTTTCAGAAGCATGTAAAATGGGACTTTGCATTTAAAACTGTGCGACAATCGAACAAAAATGAGCACCCACAAGGGAAACTATCAAGCTATCAAGGCTTCCGAATACGAGGTGACAACAAAGAGGCACAACACAAAAGACGGAGTGCATTTGAACAATTTGTGGTCGATTTGGTACGGCATCATATGCTCGGTTTTACAAGGATATCTTGCCTATAGATGTTTAAAGGAAATACTGGGTGAGTACTATAATACAATAGGGTATGAGACACATTTAATAATATGTTGGCGTGTCAATTTAAGGCAAATATTTACACTAAACCAATATCGTTCCGGTTTATCGGCCAATTGACTAACATCAAAGGAAGAGGGTGCGTTTTGGGGTTGTATGTTTGTTCAATTGAATTAAATTTGCTTAGAGTGTGTGTGGGGCGGTTTCCATTATCTAAAATTAAGTTTTTATTGTCTCAAAGTTTTTAAATCCATTTATTTTCAATAGAAATTTCCTTTATCTAATACAGTTTCAAGTTTTCAATTAATCTGTTTATCTCGATTCAATATGTTGCAGATTTTGCTGGAGATAGATATATGCCTATCAGATCCTTATAAATTTTATAAAAAACACCAGACCGACATTAATAATTGAAAATTGTACAAAAGGCTTTCAATTTACAAAAGGTTTTTGGGGATTGGGGATGATTTTTTAATGAAAACATCTTTTTCTTAAGAAAAATATGTCACAGAAGTTGCTACATCACATACTAAAATTATGGAGAAGATGATTTGATTTCCTTTATTGAAATGCAGAATCATGCTCAACACCAGAAGTCTCAAATTTCCTTCATCTAATACAGCTGTGGTTTTCCAAAACTTTTTTTTTCCAATTAATTTGTTTGTCTCGATTCCTCGTCAGAAGAAGATTAAATTAAAATGCTCGTTATGATTGAGCAAAATCCTGTTTCCTGACAGCAGCTCTGGTAGGCAAAAATATGAGCAAAAATAAGGTAAAACAATAAGAAATTAAATCTTTTGATTCTTCCCCAAAAAGACAAAATTTTCCTTTAAAATTAAGGTTGCAGGTAGCTACTATAGATACTACAAGATAAACCTAGGGTTGAAATTAATCAAATCCAGAATATGTCAAAATTCTTGAGATGTACTAATTAAAACTTTTTTTCTGAATTTTTGACCTGTCTGGATTTCTATTAAAAAGTTACACCCTTAAGTCGAAATAATTGATGGAGTCAAAACAGAAAATGGCTATTCAGGCCTCTGCCTGGATTCAATAAAGAGTTGATAGGGATGGACACAAAAATTTGGTTTTCACCGACTCTATTTAGAGCAAATGGTCCAATATTCTCACACTAACAATTGATTCTGAAAACCAGAGCAGTAGTACCTATTTAAAGTCCAAAAATCTGAATTGACTTACCTCAGTTATAAACGTGGCACTACCAATCATCACTCACACATAATGGAACCCAACAACTAGATAAAAAAATTAAAATATAATATTTATATTTCAAAAATAGATAAGATGAGATTTATCAAATAAAAACTTAACAATGATATGATAATATGAATTGATAGCAAAATATATTGAAAAATCTATAAGGGAGAATCCAAAAATACAGAGCAAAAATTTTTAAAAAATAAACAGGACTCGCCTGACAGACTTCTGTCGAGGTAAGAGAACGTTTTAGAAACCAAAGCCCACAGAAAAACGATCCTGTGTTTTTTATACTTAACTGCATTTTATTCAGTTCAACCAATCAGACGAGTACACCCAAAAGATCATATTCACTTCACAATGAAATCACAATGAAAATCCACGTGGAATAAAAGAGAATAGATAAAAATCCACTAGAATTATTTCAATTGTTAACAAATTATAATAATTTAAATTAAGGTTGTGTCAAAAATAAAAAAAACCTTTATCTGGAGTAAAAAACTGTTAATTAATTAGATTATTAAGTCATTAAATAATAAATTGATCGTAACAACTATAGTGCTGGAATTTTGCAACTCAATTAATAATTCCAGAGATTGCTTGCTTGATAAGCTCTTTTGGAGGATGGTAAATATAACACTCATGCTTAAATAGCCTCTATAGCATAAAATTGCTTGACACAAAAATCAAATTGTGGAAGCGCAAAAATCGCTGAGTGAGGTTTCTTTTTTGTACGTGAAAGAAATCAGTCCTGAATATTCTCTTTGCAAGCCAGCCAAAAGCTATGTAAATATAACTTTTTACTGGTTCTAGATTTTCAATAACTGTGGATTACAGATTAAGTACATAGTCGTTTGCCTTTGATATCGAGCGGAGAACATTTTATTAGTTTCACAACTTTTCCAGGCTATTCCATATTACAATGGCCCGATGGACTGCCATATCTGGAGCTCAACTGTAGCTTAGGCTTAAACGGAGCTGTCTTTCTACTTTTACCAATATTTTTCACTGTTACAATTCTAAAGGTAATGTTTAGTGTTTATGTTCTATTTCTAGTATTGCAAGAATTTATTTTATAGATTGGAAATCTGGCAAATGATGGCTACAAACTTGGTCGGCAGACATCTACTTGCAGCAGAGAGCCTACAGATGCTTTGGCTGTAAGCGGAGGCTGTGGGCTGTTTCGTTATGGGGGTCCTACAGCTCCTTTCATACACATTGCTATTGCATTCTGTTTACTCATACCTAGATTACTTATGGAAGCTAAGCTCATTCAAGCTGGATTTTTGCCTCAAGGTAACTATAACAGTATAAATTTCAACTTGATTCAAGGTTAATTAATTATTATCTAGATTACGTCTGGCACACCGATTTGGACTTTCTTGTCCTACACAAAAACAAATCTCTTGTCTTGAGTTTTGTAAGGCCAACTGATAGTGCTTCGGCCAGTCCTGTGATGTCCCTAAATCTATTGGCCGAAAAGTTTTACGGGCCTGGAATGATGACGTTTTCTGGTGCAAACGTGACTCACACCGTCATGAAGACTTTAAAGGATATTATTGGACATGAGGCTAGAAATTATGATAGGAAAGAATCTGGTAAGGAATTCATTGAAACAAAAAAATGGGGTGGAAATCAATTGAAGAATATGATTTTTTGTCTTCTATAGGCCGAAGGCATAAAAGATTTGATATTTAAATGATGGAATATGTAATACTGAGTCTCAGTAGTTAGTCAATGAGAGACCATAAGGTTTTAGGTTCCAAATTATTCGTGTACATACATGCATGTCACTAGAGTACTTACATTTCGGTTTAAAATAACTGAACTAATCTAATTTTTGATTACTTAGAGCTCGCACATAATGTTGAATGAATTTAAATGTTCTTTCTTTCTCAATTTTCCGTTACCTTTTCAAAGATTCAATTAAACGCGTTTTCCCGAGGCAACAAAATAGAATAAACTCTGCGCGAATTTTATCCGGATTGACTCATTAGGTACTGTAGACTTAACTCAAAACTGGACTGCAGACTGAAGACTTCAAACTTCTAAATCCGCTATATTTATATTTTTCGATTCCCCCCAAAATATTATTAATTACCCACCAAAATTGACAATGGGCGGTCGTTTGACCATCTGTAATTCAGTTCTATTAGTCGACCTAGATATTATTCCAAAAATTAATTTCATCATTTAGATGATGATGCAATCTGTTTGAAATTTTTGGCATTTTGGGGTTTAAGTGCTTAACCTTGTATTTTATCTTTTCCGGCTTTTTATTCACGAGCTCAAATGATGACACGTGCTTGCTCACTGATGGCTTGTTTAAAATTTGAACGTACCTATATAAATATTTTAATTAATTTGGGTCAATGCTAATTTGTTTTATCATCTTTCAAGTTATTGATACTGATTTGAAATATTGGAAATTCAATTTTTGATTTTTTTTTTTGATTACATTTAATTTTTGTTGTAAATTACGGGTATATTTTTCCCGGGTCATTACAAAGTATCGCAACGGTCGCTCTAGTATCACTGTTTAGGTTTTTAATTGTTGGCGAGCAGTTTCCAGTTTGTTACAGATTTTTACCAGGGTGGCTACAGTGGTAGGGTTTGTAATTGCCAAGAATGGAAATCTTCTGCAATTAAAATGGTTGAAATATCTTTATTTATTTAATGAAGTGAACAATATTCTTTACTCCAAGACTTAGTAATAGTAACTTTCATTTCATCAAATCATTTATGTATCGTAAATTGCTTCTTTACTAAAAGTTTTTACGATTTACTAGCATAATAGGGTCGTTCAATGAAATTTCATTAGCACAGTTTTTCACATTTTCATGGAGTATTACTCACATATAGCAAGTAGAAAAAATTTCAGCTCAATTGGATAAATATTGAAAGAGTTACGCGTTTTTTAATATTAAAACACTTTTGCCTCGGAAATTCATTGCTGTGACGTCATGGCATCTCTCGAGTCGAGACCGGCTAAAGGCTGTCACACATGGTTTTGCATAACGCAATGTCAACTGATTTTCTACTGACAGTTTGGCACACAGTTTGCGGAAATATGCAATATTTATAATTTTTCGTTTTGCATGCTAGTTCCATAATTGTGCTCATAAAATATTGAAACTCAGGGAATTATTCAAATATACGAAATGTGATTCGAAAAGAAAAACATCCAGTTCTACCAGAAATATGAAATGCCAAACTGAAACTTGTCTAAACGATGCTAAACCAAAACTTGTCAAAATAATGCCCATATTGTCGAAGTGACTGGCGTACCAGCACAACAAGGATCAACGTGAGAGATGCGGTGACGTCACCGCGTGTTTCAAATTTTGATAATTTATTTAAATATGAACAAGGGCTCAGAAAACTATGAAATTTTGCATAACTGCTAAATTCAACACGCTCTTTTAGAATATGTTATAAAAAAAATATACTGTACGAGCCTAATAGTAATATGTGTGAATGCAGATTACTAATAATCAATGTTATAGTTCAAAATATTTAGTTTTACAAATTATTTTCACAAGTTAAGTTCACAAAAGTATTTACCTTAGTAAACAATGTCCAATTCTCTTCCTAGAGGTGCCTTCACTTGTTGTCGCGACGCGTAATTCAATTTATTTCAAGGTCGTAACGTAAAGTACAGGTTTATTAACGGATTAACCATTTCAAAAAAGTACAAAAGGTATAGGTACACAATGAATATAAATATAAATATAAATATAAATATAAATATAAATATAAATATAAATATAAATATAAATATAAATATAAATATAAATATAAATATAAATATAAATATAAATATAAATATAAATATAAATATAAATATAAATATAAATATAAATATAAATATAAATATCTAAAAAACTCTATGCTGAATCTGTGATCTGAATCTGCTTAAATTTAAGTTGAAAAAATCTATTTCATTTGCAATATCATTAGCAATTCTACATAGTCTATTTGTAGGAATAATTTGGCCATAATTTGTTCTATGATATTCAACAAAAAATAGTTCATGGTGTCTTAGGTTGACCTGAGGAACAAGTAAACGATATTTTTTGTAATAAAATTGGTGAATCTATCAATCCATTTAAAATTTTGTATAAAAAAAATTAGGTCTAGAAAGTCACTTCTATTTCCCAATTTTGGTAAATGTAATAGCACTTTACTAATGTCATGGTAATCTATTGACTCCACAGGAATGCTAAGTTTGTAGCCTATAAATCAAGAATTTCCTAATATCGTAACTTTATTTAGTGTTAGACCGAAATTTACTGTTTGCTACATTTTTGGAAACTTACTCGACTTTTAACTCAATCTTCTAACTAGCTTCTAACCATAGGCACCGGAATTTCAAAATTACCATGGGGGCTCGGGCTCCTAGAAAAAAAATAAATTGAACCCATTTAGGAGATATTTGCAGTCCCCTTTAGACCGTCATGACAAAAAAATTCAAAACAACCTTTATTTTTATTTTCTTAAATTTCAAAGCATCCTAGCTGGAAAACGAAGAGCCTAGGAAAAAAGCCTTAAATACAAAACTTGTAGATCTCATTGAGAACTACAAAAAAGCTTATCAGAGTTATCCCTCCACGGTGAACCGTTTTCGAGAAAATCTACTTCAAAACATTCAACACAATTTCAGAAAAATTTCAACTTTGACGGCTTATATCTCGGCGATAGAAACAACCTAGAAATTTTGTAGGTAATTTATGGCTCTTTCGAAGGAAACCTGATTCGAGACAATCTGTTCGAAATTACCAAAGTTATGAGCGAAAAAGTGGCGCCGTGTCGGGTCCCCAAAACTTTCCAGGATCAAAATCTTTTATATTTTTTTCCGGGTTTAGGAAGCGTCGGAGCGAAAAACACCAGGAGACATTTTCGACGTATTTTTGGCTCCTCTATCCGGCGGTATTTTTTATATTTCAAAATTCGGAAAAGTAAATGCAGGGCGTGTATGTACTATTACACGCCTTTTTTTAAAATTGGGGCTAAAACCCCTCCGGAAGGTCAGAGAGGGCTGAAACTTGGAATGTCAACTTTTCTGGACCCCTTTCATCTATATATCTTTTTCGATAAAACTCGTGCTTCATTAGATTCGTACCAAATTTCAGCTCGATAGGACCATAGGTACGCCCTCAGCGAATTCTTGAAATTTTTTCCATGATAAACTTTAAAAAAAGCCAGTCTATTGGTACATCATGATATATTTATGTGATGTAAACATACCTATCATGAAAACAAACGGAAAGGAAATAATAATCCAACGACTTATTGAAAATACAGGTTCAAATACTACACAACAAAATATTCAAACTGTTTGTTCATGTAGGTAGGTATAGCAAAAAAAACTAAAACATAAAATACATTAATTTGATATGAAAGTAAATAGTTAGGGACTCAATATTTTTCTACCTATCCACTACATAGACTTATAATACCTAAATTACTATGAGGGCTCGTCTTTTGTGAGTTATTGTACTGCGAAAGAAAATTTTGGAAACTATTTGTTGAAGGAGTGAGATGCTTTTTAAACATTCCTCTGTGCTATTATAGGGATTATTCTAAAATGTTTTGTTATGTTGTAACTGCAATTTTCATTTTATTTCCAGGTGGAATATGGGACTCTTCAATATCACTTGAGTTCATAAACCTAGTACTGGCATTGGTAATTTACTCAGTACGTTACCCAGCACTATTCTGGTCTGCCAACAAATGCCTAGGACTACTATTTTCGTTTTTGCTTTTCATAAACGGCCTTCACATTGTTTTATCGTTTGCTGGCATCAGCATTTTATACAAAGTAAGCTTTACATTTTTTATTAAATAATTCATTACCTACTGAACATTATTCTTTTAGATCCACGTGACCAATTTGTGGACATCGATGCCCCTACTCCAACAAGCCTTGCCAAGGCTTTACAATAACTTCAACAAGTTGACTCCGTTTTTGCTCAATGCTGAAGTCACATTTGGATTGTACATGTTATCCACATTATTGATTCTGGCTAGTAGCGTTGTCATGTACTTTTATGGACATACCAGATTCACGTCATTTATCAATCATCAACGTGATACTAAGCTGATAACCTTGCAAGGGTCAGCTAGTAATGCTTGGGTCTACTTTACACATTGTGCAGCGTTTTCAGTTTTAATTTCAATCGGGATTTCTAATGCTCCTTTGCTGCACGACTACACAATTATTTACCGAGGAAGTTTCAATGATATCTCGTTGATTTGCATTATTTATGTTGTATTTCATTTGACTTTTTGGATTTGTATTTGGTTGTTTTTGACTTTTAAAGACCAATGGGATTTTAAAATAAGAATATCGGTAAGAGTTTGCCCTTTTGTTATATTAGGGTTTGACTAATGTTTTCTCTTGAAGTTTGGTGAAGCTATAATAAGACGCTCTCGTTCCATGCGTTTAGTTCAAGGTAATTCCAATATTAATACAGAAGATCCTTCAACAGGACAACAGCCACTTTTGATCATTGGCAATGGGAAAACTTACACCGTTACAGATGTTTCTCCTAAAAAGGCAATCATGGATGTTTTACAGAAAAATGGCTCTATTAAAACATCCAAGAGTAAAGGTAGGTTTAAAGGATTTTATTTTAGTTTAAGTATTGATTTTATTGAAAAATTTAGGTTCTATGACGACAAATGACGACATCAGCGAAGGTATTTACTGGCACAGGCCCGCTCTGGACGTTGCCAGGTCTCAATCGAAATCCAAATGTTTTCCATGGTTCAAAATGAAATCGAAACAAAAGGTCGTTTTCGATGAGCTATCCAGTACGTCAGCTAATCGGTAACATAGATTTCTCTATCATGGGTGTTTTCTATGTTTCCCTTATATCACTGCATGATGCTTCAATTTTATAGCTTAATAAGGAGTCTCTTTGAAGCAATTTCTAGCTAGCAAAAGTTAGAAAATTGTTGACCTAAAGACTTTTTATGCTTAATTTTCCACCATTTCTCACAGCAATTTCTAGTTCTGAGAGAAAATTTCAATTGCAGCGAGACAAAAAGTATAGTTTCTGAAAGCATTGTAGGGCGACCACAAGATTTTTTAAGACAAACTATAGTCAGAATTTGAAGTGAAGCGTAACTGTGGGCTTCTATTTTGAATTTTGAATTCACAAAATTTTACAGTAATCTAGACTATGACTACTAATAAGCAGTGGCGAAGATATGCATAAGCAAATATAAGCGATGCTTAGGGGCCCGGGCACGAAGGGAGCCGAAAAATTACTTGAGAAATTCCATAAGTAAGCTGAGACTGCATGATCTTTGAGTTTTGTCTATCAGGCATAGCACAGCATTCAACATAGGCGCAACTAGGGGGGTGCTAAGCACCCCTAAAGCAAAAATTAGCACTCCCATTATGCTTCTCACCATAGCACTACCTACAGTGGCACTACCTAAAACTAATATAAAAAATCATTGTAAACCCACTTTTCCCCAAATATTACCTCATTTTTCACACTCACTTTTTTTTAAATTTTTGACTCATTTTTTTTTGCGATTTTTGACCCACTTTTTTGCAATTTTGTCTTCACTGTTTTGCGATTTTTGGCTCTTTTTCAGAATTTTGTCTCTCTTTTTTCCGAATTTGTCCTTACTTCTTTTGCGATTTTAGCCTCACCTTTTTGCGATTTCACCCTCACATTTTTGCGATTTTATCCTCACTTCTCGGCGATTAGGAACTTATTTTTCCGCTATTTCATCCTCATTTTTTGGCGATTCTTACCTCATTTTCCCGCGATTGTTTCCCTACTTTCCGCGATTTTATCCTCACTTTTCGTGACTTTATTCTCATTTTTCTGTGAGTCTCATCTTACTTTTCCGCGAGTTTAAACTCACTTTTTTGAAAAGACTCATATTTTTTTTGCGATTTTTGACTCTTTTTTTTGCGATTTTATCATCACTTTCCGCGATTTTATCCTCATTTTTTCTCATTTCAAAATTACGAGAATAGCGATAATTTTTGAAAAGTTACGAAAAATTACGGGAATTACGTTAAAGTACGTAAAATATGAAAAATTATGAGAATTGCAAACATTTACGAGAATTACGGAACATGACGAGAATCACGGAATAACAAAAAAATGCGGGAATTACAAAAATTATGGAAATTGCCAAATATTACACAAAAGAATTACGAAGTTACTCCAAAATTACGTCAATAATTTATGAAAAGTTACGAAAACTAACAAGAAATTGCAAGAAAAAATTTACGGAACCTAGTAAAATGATTGAAATGATGAACATTTACGGGAATTATGAGAAATTATAAAAATTACGGGAATTGAAAAAAATACGAAAAACTTCGAAAATTACAAAAATTACGAGTATTACGAAATATTACGGGAAAGAGTTACAAAATTATTTTAAAATTACGTGAATTACGGTAATTCCCAAAATAACGGAAATCACAAGTTTTTGAAATTACGAAAATTACAATAACTTAGGGAGAATTAGAAAATTCCGAATTTTTTTGGAAATTAGGAAAATTAAAACTTAAAAAATTGGAAATACAAATAATTACTGGAATTAAGAAAACATCACGATAGGAAAAGCGCGAAAAATTGCGGAAATAACGAAAATTAACAAGTTTTCCAAAAATTGAAAAAAATAAGGGGGAATTAGAAAATAACAAGAATTATCTGAGAAATGACAGGAATTAAAAAATTTCGAAAATCGCCAAAAAAAATACGGAAATTACCAACTTTCGAAAATTTCAAAAACTTAGGGGAAATTATAAAACTAACGAAATTTTTTTGAGAAATTGTAAAAACTAAGGGGGTATTATGAAAATAACGAGAATTATTTGAGAAATGACAGGAATTACAGAATTTCGGAAATTCCCGAAATAAAATACGGAAATTACATGTTTTCGGAATTATCAAAATAACGAAGTTTTCTGAGAAATTACAGAATCTAAAAAATTACGGAAATCTGAAAACTACAGGAATTATTCAAAAATTATGAAAAATACGAAAAAATCACGGGAATTGAAAAAATTGTGACAATTTTAAAAAAATTACGAAAATAACAAAAAGGTTACGGGATTCACGAATTTTCCGAAAATTGCAAAAACTAAGGAGGAATTATGAAATTAACGAGAATTTTTTGAGAAATGACGGGAATTTGAGAATTTTCGAAAATTCCAAGAAAAAAAAAAATACGGGAATTACCAATTTTTGAGACTCACAACAAACTGGGGGCGAATTATAAAGATAACGGAGTTTTTTGAGAAATTACGGGAATTACAAAATTAGGAAAATTTGAGGAACTACAGGAAATATAAAAATTGAAAGAAATAAGAAAAAAATCACGAGAACTGCGAAAAAATGACGATAATTTTTGGAAAATTACGGGATTTATGAAAAAGTTACGGGAATTACGAAAATTACGAGTGTTCCAAGAATTGCAATGACTAAGGAAGAATTATAGAAATAAGGAGAATTATCTGAGAAATTACGGAAATAATGAAAATTCACAAAAAAAAAATGAAAATTACGGGAATTACGAATTTTTGAAAGTAACAAAAACTTAGGGGGAATTATAAAATAAGTAACTGAATATTTTGAGAAATTACAGAAATTAAAAAATCACGAAAATCTGAGAAACAACAGGAATTATTCAAAAATTACGGGAATTACAGAAAAATTACGATGAATTTTGGAAAGTTACGAAAAAGTTAAGGGAATTACGAAAATTACGAGTTTTGCGAAAATTGCAAAAACTAAGGAAAAATTATAAAAATAACGAAATTTATTTGAGAAATAACGGCTTTCAAAAATTTTTTTTCGCAATTTCACCTACACTTTTCCGCAATTTCAAAGTCCAAACTCACTTTCTCGCAATTTCAACAAATTTTTCCGCGAATTTTGCCTCACTTCTCCGTTATTCCTGCCTGATTTTTCAATAAGTATAACCTCAATTTTCCGGGATTTTCGCCTCACATTTCCGCAATTTCATCCTAATTTTTCCAAAATCTTTACTTTTGTTTTTCGTATTTATAACCTCATTTTTTCTCGATTATAACCTTGCTTTTCCGCCATTTTTACTCAACTTTTTCGCAATTACAACATTTCCAACCTCATTTTTTTGTAATTTTTACTTCTATTTTTCGTAATTCCAACTTCCTGCGATTCTGACACTCACTTTTTCGCAATTTTTGGAAAGTTACGGAAAATTGCAGGCATAACGAAAAATAACTGGAATTATAAAAATAAAGAGAATTACAGAAATTATAATAGGAATTACGAAAATCACGAATTTTTGAAATTATGAAAATTACAAAACTTGGGGGGGAATTTAAAAATAACGAAGTATTTCAAAAAATTAGGAGAATTAAAAATGGGTACAAAAAATTACGGGAATTACGAAAAAATTATGATTTTTGAAGTTATGGGAAAATTACGAAAAGTTACGGGTGAATTACGAAAATTATGAGTTTTTCGAAAATGCAGAAACTAAGGAAAAATTGATTTTTTTAAGCAAAATTAATTTTCTTACATTTTATTTTTTTTCTAGAAAACTGGCGAAACGATAATTGTGAAAATTTTTCAGAAAAAAGAGGAAAGTGAGGATCTCATTAAAGCAAAATTTCAAAATTTTTCATTAAAAATTACTCAGGAAAAATGGTGGAAAATTGACTTACGGAAAATTCATCCTCTTACATTTTGATTTTTTTCTGGAAAACTAGCAGAGGGAAAATTTTGAAAATTTTCCAGTGAAAAATCACTCTAGGAGAAATTTTATTTATATATTTTCGGATAACTGAATAAATTCTCTTCTGAGTTAAAAAATGTATTACAAAACAATAATTCCGAAGGTGCTTCATGAATTAATCTATGACATAACTTTTTCTCTAAGTTATGACGTCGTTAAAACCCTCGTGAAACTAACCTTTTACGCGTCTCATTTCGTTTCCATCAAAAAAAAAAAAAAAAAAAAAAGGTGCTGCAGCACCCCTCAAATTTGGAGCCTAGTTGCGCTTATGGCATTCAATATGGATTTTCGGTATTTAGTTGCTCCAAAAAAATTATCCCATGCATAAGGGAGCCATAGATAATCAAAATTTGAACTATTACCGGCTCTTGATTTCTTGATTCTCTGGAAAACTTTCCTGAAGCCAATCAAGAGCCGGTAATAGTCAAAATTTGAACTTTTATCAACTAGAGTTTCAATGAAGAAATGAGTAATTTTTCTCTTTAAAATTATCATAAATTGCGTGCCTCTACAACGCTTTCAAAATATTTTAAATTGCTTTGCTTCATCTGAATTTTGCCTTAATCCAAAAACGTGTCAGTGTTGTAATTGGTACAAATATTAACTTTCATCTCGTAGAAAAAATAGTGTTCCTAACTCGTGCGAAAAGTCTCTTTTTCTCACTTAATTGCTTGCGAAACTCCTGAATCGCGTGCGGAAAAGTGGCACTTTCCGCACTCGTTAGGAAATATACGAAATATACTATTGGAACTTTCATCATTTTAATCCTTTATAATAGTAATAATGCAAGTTTTCCCATTATTTTTTTTAAAGAAATAAATCAAAAATAAGAAACAGCGTGATTCCTGGTATAGATGAAGATGACGGAGATTATGCTACCCTTAGAGAATTACCCTTGGCACCTATATTAGCCAACAAGCGAAATATTACTGACGATAATGTCAGCGAAGAAGGAAAGGTACCCACTTGTTCAAACCCAAAACAAACTTATTAAACGAAAAACAAATATTTTAGCTACTCTCATGCCTTCAAGACGAAGATATCACATACGCAAACACCAGCCAGGATTTCAATCCTCCTGAATCAGCTTGTCTACTAGAACCCATAGTAATTCATAACGATTACGCTGCACAGGTAAATACATAAACATATTGTAGAGTTCCACCCAAGTACTCTATTAATTAGTTAGATGGTAAATGGCGAGCGGTTTTATTTGATGTTGGAGACTCCACTCACTGCCAATTTCCTTGATTCTTAAAACCTTACTATCAAATCAACTGCTGGATGTTATCTCCCCTTTTTTCTTATTGTAACCCGCTTAAATAGTACTCAATTCCCACCAAAAATCTGTTATGTGGGCCGTCATTTAGCATTTCTCGAACCAATCCTCTTATTTGACCTCGTTTAACGAGTGATAAACGATATTGTTGTTTTCCAAGAATTGTTTTTTTTTTTAAGTTTTTACTTAGGATATGATGCAACATCCGGCGGAAACACCGGGGTTGTAGTTTATCAGTTATGACCAGTGTTGCCAAAGAGCAAACATTTTTTGTATCAAAATTATAGACAAATTGTACCAGATTCAGTAAAAATGTACCAGCCTATCATAGGGTGGTGGTGACCATACTTTTTTCTCAAATGTCACTTTAGAAATAACATTCCAAGACCTACTGGATTGGAACTAATGAAGTAGTAAGAAGGTTGGAATAACCCTTTGCCTATTTACTCAATACATATATTTGCGGCCAACATTAGAGTGAGAGAACAGGAGAGATCCGTGAGATTTTCCTGCCCTTACTAGCACTATCTCACTCAGGGTTAGCGTGAGAGATATAGGAGATCCAATAGATTTTTTACCCTTACTAGCGCTTTCTCATTCTGGAATCAAATGAATGACGAAAAACGCATTCGAAACCTCTTTCTACTTCATTGATTGGAACCCAAGTAAAGTTAGCTACAAAGCAGTGTTGCCACCTGAAAAAAAAATTATAAATTCCCTAAAAAGTTGTTTTTACTGATGTTTTTTTGCGTTCTTAATTTTTTGGCTGAAAATGAAGAAAATTCAAAGCCTCGTATTTTAAATCGGTTTTCCTGGCCTGGAAAAGCGGGAAATCCAGGGAAAAACCTCTGAAAAGAACATTCCAAAGCATACTTGATGAAACTTGAGTTTTTGTCACTTATCCCATTAGAAAACTGGAAATTTTTAGCACAAAATGAAGGAAACTCAAAGCCTCGTACTTTAAACCATTTTTTCCGTTTTAAAACGGCCTGAAAAAGCGGAAGTTTCCAGGAAAAACGGATAAAAACACTCAAAATGGTCGACTTTCTAAATTGACAAATGACATTTATTACAAGGTTTACATGATTGAAGTTGGCTACAAACGATGTTGCCACATCAAAACTTCCAGAAAAAGCATTTAAATGGGATTTTCCTAATTATTGCATTTAAAAATATAAATTTGTGCTAGAAAATGAAGAAAACTCAGTTTCGTACTTAAAATCGGTTTTCCCGAACGAAAAAGCCCTTGAAAAGCGGAAAATTCAAAGAAAAACCTCTGAAAAGGACATTCCAAAGCCTACTTGATGAAATTTAAGTTTTAATCACTTACCCCATTGGAAAACTGAAAATTTTTGGTACAAAATGGAAAAAACTTGAAGCCTCATATTTAAAATCGGTTTTCCTAATTGAAGAAGCTTTGGAAAAGTGGAAAATCCAAAGAAAAACCTCTAAAAAGAACATTCCAGCACCTACTTGATGAGACTTAAGTTTTTGTCACTTGGAAAACTGGAAATTTTTTGCTCAAAATGAAAAAAAACTCAAAGCCTCGTACTTTAAACCAGTTTTTCGGACTTGAAACGCCCTGGAAAAATGGAAAATCCAAGGAAAAACTGGATAAAAACGTAAACACGTCATTGCAAAATGGCCGACTAAAAGCGACGTTGCAGCATGACATTAATGACATTTTAAATGGTTTAATTTAATTAAAACCTGTTGAATAATTAAATAATAGCGATTTTGAAACAATAAATTTCCCAAATAAGGTCTTTGAAACTTGTTTTTAGTTTAAAAATGTTTAATTAATATATGAGTAAGACAAAGACAACAATAAAGTAGTATATGTTTGCAACAACACCAAATGGGTGAGATAAAGTAGAATGCCATTTAAAACGCAAAATTTTTGATAAAGTTGTACCCACTTAAATATTTAAAAAATTGATAACAAAAGTACTGTTAAACTGGTAAGGGCCGAAATCCCTTAGTCCGGAACTGAAGGCCCGCCCACACAACGCTGGTTTATGTGGATAAGATTAGAAACTCTAATAGACAAGAAATTAGTTTGCTACGTTGTCGTGATCACGTCACGCTTTTTATAGAACTTTGGTAGCGGCCGTGACCGGTGATTTTTAGTTATCAGTGATTAAATCACAGTTCGTGATATATCGCTCATCACTACTTGTTGGGTTGGTGAGTGGAGAAAGCACTAAATGCAAAAAAAAAACAGTGCCATGACCAACATAAGTTCTTTTGGGCAAATGTTGTCAACATTGTAGCTCGTTTTAATAGCATTTATAATTTAGAAAAAATAAATAAATTGAAAATTGTACCAAATATGCCAACGTCGTACCAGCGTACTTTTTCAAAGTGAATGGTACCAAATTTGCTACAATTGTACCTCTTCTGGCAACACTGGTTATGACGCAATTAAATCACATGAGTATAGTGATTTCCGGTTAAACGCGTCCTAATTTTATATTTTTTTATGAATTCCATTTTTTTATTTTTATTGGAATTTCGCAAGAGTCTATTAATTGGGAACATCGAACTCTGACATCCGGTCGCTTATCGCTTGTGTTGGTAAAAAATTGTTATGTAATTTCAGTTGAGCTTAGAAATTTCGTCATTTTTTATTTATACTATTTTTATACGGAATTAGATGCTGTATTGCTAGGAGATTTAATAAGTTGAGATTGAATTATCCTGCAACTGACGTAGGTACTTTTCTAATTGAAATGACTACAAAAAAGCTTTTACCAATTGAGTTTAGTTATATTTTCTAGGATTTTAGCACCTCGAAATTTTTGGGGTCGCCACAATATAAAACCATCATACAACATTATTTTGTTTTATATAGGTATCTTCCACTTCAGAAACCACCCATAATCGTCACAGAATCCTCCGTTCCGATTCGGGAATATTAACCCACGAAGAATTCACTGCAAGATCCGATTCAATAAGTACCGAGTGTTCGGTTTCACCTCCCGAACCACCTGGAAGCAGCCACAGCGAAGCTTCAAGCGGAGTACACTCAAACGAGAGCAATGAAACTTCAATTTTGAAGCAACAAAATGACGATTCACAAGCCACCAATTCCGGCTCTGGATCAGTCAAATCTAATCCGGAAAGTACTGTTGTTATTAGGCGAAAATCTATTAGGCCTAATCCAAATGAAGGAGTAAGAATTTTCTTGTCCTTAACAACTCTACAACTTAATTGTTTTTAGGTTTCAGAAGCTATTCTAAAAGAAGACCCTTATGGAAGAGCTACAAACATGCGTATGACTTCATTTATGGACACCAAAGGTATTCTGATTCAATCTTCTTCGGCTACTTTGCCTCATTATCCGACACAGCCCAGCGTGCAAAATATGTTTTCGAATAATTGCTCAACAATGCCGTTGCCTCAACATACTTCCGGCAACATTCCGCAATCAATTACAAATGGAAACAGGTATAGAATTAATTCGTTATAATAATCATTTTATAACATTATTGTTTTAGTTGTAATGTTTATCCTAATCGACCGCACACAACAATACCGACTCATTTAAATGGTATCAAAATTGTACCAAGCAACGGAATTCAAACAGCAGTGAAACGACTTTCTGGAACGAAACTGGAACCGATTTATACTAAAATCAATAGAGCAACTAATCAAGTTTGTCATTATACTACCAATGGGCATTCGTAAATTGTTTTAGGTTTTGAAAAAATGAGGTTGAAGGATTGAGCTTCCCTATGAAGAAGGTTTGTGCGATTCTGAGTGAAACATTTTTTGTTTAATATTAATAATATAAAATATAATGAGGTAGCTTAGTGAAATAGGTACTGGATACAAAGAAGTAATTTTTACGCATAATGATTAAATAAGTTGGCACTTTTGCGAGATACTCAAGACAATAAACAATAATATTTTAGACTGATATGTATCTACGAACAAAGAGCATACTTAATATACCTCGTTAGTATTAATATTCTGAGCTGCCTATCAAATTCTGCAAGGGCAGCTTTTTGTCAAACAATTTAAAATGTAGCAGCGAATATTTCAATGATTCGAAATTTGTTCTATATAGGTACTCATCGAGTAACAAACTGCCAAAAAGGAAACGTAAAAATTAAGCCTAGATTGTCTTATTAGGTAGGTACAGTTGCTCCCGATTATTTGATTAAATTAGGTACAGGTACTTCAAGACATTTTCAGAGAAGTGAAAATCGACAAACCCTGAAATATTCAGATGTAGGTATAACCGGCTCTTTCAGAGCTAAAATTTGACAGGAATGCGTGAAAATCTAATTCCCGGTTCCTCTTGAGCTGAAATTGAAATTTAGGGAAGTAAACTGAAATTTCCAGACATTATAAAGTTAAACTGCAAGTAAAGTATTTTTAAAAAGGTAATTTTTGTCCATCTCAGAGAAGCTCGAAATTCCTGTAACAGCAACAAGCTCTTCTAGAGCTACAATTTGAATTATGCCAAAATCTCAACCTAAGAAAATTTGAAAGGACCCCGCACACCTCTTATGGGTATTTGGTTTTCTGTCAAACTCAATGAAATTTTGATGTGTAAGACCTTGACTTCTTGATAAAAAGTTCTCATGGGCCCGAACCAAATCCTATGATTAGTTTTTGAGATACAGGTACTTTAATGTCCACTATATTTTGACCTCCCACTTGGAGGGGTAATTACAGGTGCTACAAAAAAAAGTTCATTACAAAAATTCTTCAATTTGAAGCAAAAAATTCAAATTTGATATAATTATTTATACAGGGTGTTCCAGAAGCGGTCCACAGCTCTTAACTTGAAATTTATAAATTGGATGAAATACAGGGTTTTCATTTGATTTTTAGATTCTACGTTCAATTCTAAGACATTTTTTTATAAAATAGAACTATCTTATCTTTTACCGTTTTCGAGATAAAGGCATAGAGATTTTGTGGGGAAAAAAAATAAATTATCGTGATAAATATAGATTGTATGGAAATTGTTGCGTTAGTTCAATATTCAAGTAACCTACTTATAAATGAAAAAATCTACAACAAAAATAACCGATAAACTACAAAAATTGTTCAAAATGACACATAATGTTGAACGACTTTAAATGTTCTTTCTTTCACAATTTTCCGTACTTTTCAAAGATTCGATTAAAGGCGTTTTCCCGAGGCAAAAATAAAATAAACTCTTCGCAAACTTTATTTGGACTGACTCATTAGGTACTGTAGACTTTAACTCAAACTGTACTGAACTTAAAACTGATGATCTCAACTGATCCTCCACTTCTTAAACCGCTGTATTTATATGTTTCGTCCCCCCAAAATTCCTAATTTCATCATTCATTTAGAAAATGATGCAATCTGTTCGAAATTTTTGTCATTTCTTTGTTCAAAACCGAATAATTAAGTCGCAATTTCCTGGTTTATCGGGGTCAACAGATTTCCTATAAGAATGTCACATATAAATCAAAGAAGACCTACACACGTGCGCCATAAATCACCGATTTAATTACTTTGGCCTCGCTTTTAATATTCTTATGGATTTGTTTAGATGATGACTAAATAATAAGAAATTAAACGTTTTTAAGATATTTTAATTAATCTGGGTTAATTTTTATTGGTTTCATTTTCAATTTATTGATACTGATGTTAATTATTTAGAGATTCAGTTTTTGATTATTTGATTACATTTAATTTTTACAGTAAAGACATTGTCTAGTTTCCTGGGTGATTACACACCCATAAGTTCCGCAATAATCCACTCTTTTGTACTTGAATAACTTGTCACATATATTACTAGTTTGGTAAAGTAACATTACTAATTCCTGTTAAAAGGCAAATTGACAAAAAGTGAATGATCTTACAAATTCTGATTTTAAATAATAAGTTATTGTTCAAGTACAAATGAGTGGATTGTTGCGGAATTTATGGGTAGACCTCTGCGGGACGAGCGCAGCGAGTTCCGCAGCCATCTACTCACCAATATACTGTTGAACTATTCAAATAAGACACTCACCTGAAACGTGTAGTTTTTGAACTAATGAGAATAACTGACATTTGAGTGAGTCACGTTAGTATCGTACTTGAACAACATATATTAATGAATAGATGACTGCGGAACTCGCTGCGCTCGTCCCGCAGAGGTCCACCCATAAGTTCCGCAACAATCCACTCGTTTGTACTTGAATAACTCAATAACTTGTCACATTATGTTACTAGTTTGCAGTTGCAAGGTTTCTGGGCTCACATATTGACACCAAATTAAAGTTTTCAGAACATATGTTACAGTTCAATAAAAAACTTTTATCTGCATGTTATGCAGTGAGAATTGTATCAAACAACTTGGGTCATTCCATGGTGAAAAATGTGTACTGTTCCTTGATAGAGTCTAACATCAGGTATGGTATTCTCTGTTTTTGTATTACAAACACATTCTCTAAGATATGTGAGACCCCAAATTCAGAAACTTGGCAAGATGTTAAATTAAAATTTATATAATTCCAAGTAAAATTTTAATTTATAGTTTGACTCGACTCATACTCTTGCCTTCACAATTTCTGGCTAAATATAAAAAACAGTACTTAAATTTAACAATAATGTATTTACTGCTGGCCACACCTAATTACATGGAATTCTTATTGGTTGAAGGAATTTACTTCACTTATAAACATTTGATAAAACTCGAATATTTTCGCGATGTTATCTCACGTCGTGCTTCTTCTCTCGGATAATTCGAATACTCTTTTACGCCGTAGTTCTGGACACAGGTCTCTCGATTACTACTTGTTCCTTGATTACTTAACCGATCACTGGTTTACAGACGTAGCTCTACCCGTTTACTCGCTCTTTTTCGAACTCTGATTTTCTCCTGCCAAAGTTGCCTTTTTATATAATTGGTCCCTCCATTGTCTTGAATTTCTTTGTTTTTTCTGACCTCGATTTTTCGTAGTTGAATCATCCGATCCGATAGTGTATTTGGTCCCCTTTTAATTAATTATCAAGGGCGTCGCTAAGTGGTTTGTTAAGTGGGTATCATCATATAGGCTCGTGCATGATTTATTGATCCATTTAAAAAAAAATCGGCTCCTTTGGAATGTTAATTGTTGAAAGCACTTAAAAAAAAGGTCCATGAACTTTTGCTTTAGTCACATTCCAATGTGACTAAAGCAAGCAACGCTCCTTTGAGTCAATATAGGGTATCGGCTTTCAAAAATTTCTGGATATCGATGTTCAGATAATTTTTAATTGAAGTTTCTGCTTGTGCTGTCTAAGTGATGATCTCTCCTGGTATGGTTGTTTGGTAAGTCCTTGTTATTCTTGATTAAAATTTCTGTAGTCACTACACGGACCTCTTTTTATAAGGGAAAAATTACTGATTTTCTTCTGCATTTTTATATTGGAAACGGTGATAATGATACACAAAATGCATAGAATTTCACCTTATTTGTGTAATCAATATGGTCAAAATGAAGGATCTCTAAAATTACCAATACCAAAAGTACTCTCATTAAACAATCTCCGATATACGAGAGCCTCAAGATTTACAATCACCTACCATTGTCATATAGAAGTATAGAGAATACTAGGAAAATCAGGCAGAAGGTGAAATTGTTATTGCAGGCTAAAGCATATTAATTAATGAGTAGGTACTTTAATGATAATATTACTGGAGTTGGAGTGATGTAGTAGCCTGATAAAGTCTAGGTCTACCACTACATATCAAAATTTTATTGAATTTGACAGAAAACCAAATACCCAAAAAAGGTGTGCAGGGTCATTTCATCTTTCATCAATTTTGAAGGAAAATTATTTTCTAAAAAAAATATCCCCAATTAATTGTATCTTAGAAATCTGAACTTTTTAGAGATTCCTATATTCTTCTGCAAGGAAATAACTAAGAGTTAAATAACCGGGAGTATAAACTGTACCGAAACTAATTAGGTCCGAATCACATCATTTGACGAATTAAAAAATATCAACAATATCAGTATTTTAAAGAACAATATTTTTTATATTATATGCATAAAAATGATATCACCACTTTTATATCATGCATATACAAAATATAGGACAGTATTTTTTTTTTGAAACACACAATAATATGTTCTTTTAGTAGATACCTACTCAAAAGTCACCAAGATTTAATCTGGTCCGTTTGAAAAATGAAAATATAATATACACCCAATACAAATATGTATACAATGCAATTATTTTTGAATAACACCCAAATATGAATAAATACATATTATTAATTCAAAATGTTCCTTGGGGCCATGTAACATTCTCATTCATTTGCCAGCAATAGGTATATTAATGTAACCTAATAAAGATAATAAAAATAACCCTTTTATCATATCATCAAATTAGATCTCGCCCATCCTTAGTAATAAGAACTTACCTAAGTAATGATAAATATCAATAAACTATAAGACTTTAGCTTTTGTATTACAATAATAAAATGCTTAGTACCTACACTAGTAATACTATTCACCTCTATTTACGAATACAGCATATTCGCATTATATAATAGAATTTATTTTTTAAATTTTTCACATGATAATTTTCAAAAGCATGTAATGGATAATGAAAATCTTACTTCTGGTAGGTCTTTCCAAAGTTCCTACATTTGTGTAGTTTTCAATTGAAAATCTTCAACAGATCCAACAATTCTTCAGTTTGAAGTGCATGCTGAAAATATTTAAATAAAGTCTAGCAAAATATTATGTGTCTATAAGAAGGGTAATGGATTAAATAATAAGGTCGAAGGTTGTCCTCCAAATATTAGCCAGCTTCAATTATCTATCCATAAAGTTATATTTTTTTATTAGTTACAATAAACACAAACCTATATTGTTTTAGTGGCGGTTGTGAGTTGATATGATTACTATTCTAAGGTTGTACTTATAGCAAGAATTACTTATATATTAAAATGACTCTCTAAAATAATCTTCTCCAAATATATTTGCTCGCAATAAATTAGATAGCAGTATTATAAAGGCATCCCACATATAATAATATAATACTATACCCCAAAGAAATAAAAATCTTATTTATGTTAAAACAATAATTATTATATACTCATTCTCCTCGTAATTGTGTTATTAATATGTACTTTATAAAGTTTCCTACGCTATTTCTATATACCTGTACATAAATGTTCCAATGATATTAGGTTGTGCGAATTTTGTACTGATATTTATTTGTTTATATTAATTTTATCGTTACATTGACATTTTTCCAGTAATATGTTGCATTCATTAAATGTAGGTAAATAAATAAACATTATTTAATATTTAATCAATGTGTGTTTTTTTGACAAGCTTCTAGATGGTATTTGCTTAAAGCCACTTGGTATGTATACGATTTTCGGATTCTAGGCTTTGCTCAGAATCTTGAAGGTACTTTGTCCAATTTTCTGCTTTGTTGGAACAAAGCTAAAATAAACTTTACTTGCATCTACCTAAAAAAAATGCTGGATGACGAAGCGAAAAGGGTTGGGTGTTATCAGCAAGAAAAGGATGAGTCAGTCTTGATGTTCTGCTGGTGGTGATCGGTTATCTGGAAATAGCGACATTGTTTTTCTTTGTGGCTAATATAATTATTTAATATAAATATTTGTACGCCTTAAGAAAGTACCTTCCTAGCTCACAAACTTTTAAAAAAAATTAATACTAATTATTCGGACTTCTATATCTAGAAACAGGGGATTTGCCTACACTTGCCGTCGGGGTACTACTCTACTACGCAGTAGGTAAGTTTTTTTGCCTATCTCACTTTCTCATATTTATAACCTTATCATAATTTACTTTTTTTTTTGGGGGGGTTGACGGGGGTTTGAGATTCGGATGTCTTTGTCAGACAAAACAAATAAAAGGGATAGTCATAGAGGGCTTAAGCCGAGTACCGATCGCCGACAGTCGCGACCAGGAATTATTGAATTTTGTCACTTATTTGTACTTGAACAATAGCTTAGGCACTTTCCAAATTTCACCGATAAATTGACCGGTTAAATAAACCGGTAGCTGTCAAAAAATTCCGGTTAAAGGTAGGTGTAAGTCCGGTTACAACATTTTTCTGATGCATTTTGGAACGCTTTGGTGTGTTAAAGCGGTGTTCCGACAATTTAACGAACGACTGCCGATAAACCCCAATCAAAGCAATTGAGCCGAATAAACGCGATGGAATATTGATAACCGCGGTTATATCTTTGGTCAGTCCTTGGTTATCCTTGAAACAGTGATTTGTCGACCTTTTTTGATTAACCTGAGAGAGCTCGCGTTTATGCTATGGTTATTCCGATAACCCCATTTTTTTTTGTTTATTCCGTTATGTTCTGTCTTGTGCTAGATCAAATCCTCAAAATAGTTATTTATGCAACAAGTGTGTAGAGTGAACCTTTTTTCACGAATGTGAATTTTGACGCACGAGCCGAAGGCGAGTGCGATAATCACATGAGTGAAAAAAGGTGCTTTACGCACGTATTGCATACAAATTTTTTTCTACTACCAATCAAATATGTTTACAAAAATAGATTTAGATAAATACTTTACGCACTAGTGCCTGAAGTATTCTCACTTTACACACTAGTGCGTGAAGTAATTTACCAGAAAAATACTAAATTGACAATGATGACATCTGTCATTGACATTGTGAATTATACTTTACGCACTAGTGCGTGAAGTGTAATTTTACGTCTTCTGAATAGTGCGTAAAGTGAGTACTACGGTAGTAGAAAAAGATATTTCTCGAGATTTTTAGAACATGGATTTTAAAAGAATAATTTCTTTTCTGGGAAAATTTTGATTGGATCGAAATCAATTAAATTCTATAGAAATAAATTATTTGGCTGCCAATAGGTACATTAGATGGACGAAGTTCCTTTTTTGGGGTTCTTGCAGAAAAAAAACACAACAAAACAACGAAAGAACCGTCAAAATCCGTTATTTCGGGTATTTCTCCTTTATTTACTTTTTAAGACAAGGACAGAACATAATAACCCAGCTCCAAAGGTACCTAGGTTAAAAATGGTTGAACCAAAGATAAAAACAGCTGATTTAATACGTCACAAAGGGCCAAATAATGACGTCACTACGGAATGATCAAAAATGACCAAAACCGCGTTTACGTGAATGGTTCTACCATTTTTGACTCGGTTATTAATATTCCATCGCGTTTAATCGGCTTTGATGTACGTCAAAAAAAAAGTGTCAAAAAATCTCCAACCGAAAAAACCGACAAAAATTCCCGGTAGATCCGGTGCCTCACCGGTTTCAAACAGTTCTGATAATTCCGGTCAATTTTGGAACGGACGATCTGGTTCAACCGGTAGAAAGCCGGTAAATTTTGGAACGGTTTGGTGAGTAAACTATTAAACCGGTATCGCACCGGTTCACAAACCGGTGAATTTTGGAAAGTGCCCTATATAAAGTCAAAATTTGTAAGAATATGCACATTTTGTCAATTTGCCTTTTAACAGGAATTGGTAATTTTACTTTACCAAACTAGTAATATATTGTGACAAGTTATTCAAGTACAAACGAGTGAATTGTTGCGGAACTTATGCGGGTGGGTGGACCTCTGCAGAACAAGCGCAGCAGCCATCTATTCATCAATATGTTGTTCAATTACGATATTAACCTGACTCACTCAAATGTGAGTTATTCTCATTAGTTCAAAAACTACACGTTTCTGGTGAGTGTCTTATTTGAATAGTTCAACAGTATGTAATGACCCGGGAAAATAGACCCGTAACTTACAATGTCTTTACTGTAAAAATTAAATGTAATCAAATAATCAAAAACTGAATTTCCGGTATTTCAAATCAGTATCGATAAATTGAAAATGAAACAAAATAACGTTGACCCCAAATTAATTAAAATATGTTCAAAATTTTATTATTTAGTCACCAAGTGTGTCATCACCAAAATCAAATTCATATAGATATTAAAATCGAGGCCAAAACAATTAAGTAGGTGATTTATGGCCGCACGTGTTGTCGGTATTCTTTGAGTTATATGTCCAATTCTTACAACCAAATCTGTTGACCCCGATAAACCAGGAAATTGCGATATAATTGTTCGATTTTAAACAAATAAAAGAGGAAGATTATTGAATGATGAAATTTGGAATTTTTTGGGGAACGAAACATATAAATACAGCGGTTTTAGAAGTGGAGGATCAGTTGGCAGTTCAGTCGAGTTGAGTCTACTGTACCTAATGAGTCAGTCCGGTTAAAATTCGCGAAGAGTTTATTTTATTTTATTGCCTCGGGAAAACGCGTTCAATCGAACTTTGAAAAGTACGGAAAATTATGAAAGAAATAACATTTAAAGTCGTTCAATGTTATGTGCGAGCTCTAGAGATTTTTAAAGTAAATAAATTGTGTAATTTTACGAGTGAAAAGTTAAATGTAAGTACTCTAGTGACTAGTAAAACTTTTTGACTTTATAAATGATGAATGATTATGAAGTGAATTAACTTTGGAACTTTAATGCATAAAAACTTGAGTGATTTGAATACTTAATAGGAATGTGAATCGGAAGTGTTGTAATGTATAAACTTATAAGTTATTAGGAATAGAAGAAGTAGGGCGTTTTTGTTTAGTATGGATATTTCCTGGTCCGTAGTAATGAAATTTGAACGAATGTGAAATAACTTGATTTGGGAAAAATAGAAGTGGCTGTCAGACATAGAAAGATATTTGCTTATTTCAATTTTGGTTTTAAGTATCATAAAATATAATTTAGTAAACCTCAATAGTTTGTTTCTCTCTTTTACGAATAGACCCCCTCCACAGTTTTATATAGGTAGCCGCTCAAAGAGATAAACACCATCAATATACCGCTTGCCATTTACCATGTAACTAATTAAATAAGAGTACTTGGGACGTTTTGCTACAAGCATATTGATGAGTAGATGGCTGCGGAACTCGCTGCGCTCGTCCCGCAGAGGTACACCCATAAGTTCCGCAATAATTCACTTATCTGTACTTTGAACAATAACTTATTATATAAAGTCAGAATTTGTAAGATTATCCACTTTTTATCAATTTGCCTTTTAACAGGAATTAGTAATGTTACCTTACCAAACTAGTAATATATTGTGACAAGTTATTCAAGTACAAACGAGTGGATTGTTGCGGAACTTATGGGTGGACCACTGTGCAGCCATCTATTCATCAATATATTGTTCAAGTACAATACTTACCTGATTCACTCAGTTGTGAATTTTTCTCATTAGTTCGAAAACTACACGTTTCAGGTAAATGTCTTATTTAAACAGTGCAACAGTATATTGGTGAGTAGATGGCTGCGTAACTCGCTGCGCTGGTCTCGGAGAGGTCCACCTATAAGTTCCGCAATAATCCATTTATTTGTATCGTTTTTTTATATATTGTCACCCCACCTACAGCCTTTACCTTTATAGGTAGAAGAAAAGTGTAAATACAAAAGTTGTACAGTTTTGGCTGAATTTTTAGAAACCATCATGGTCAGAAACAAAATTTGAATGTCAGAAATGTGAAATTTTCTGTGTGAGATGGAATGATCCAGAAAAATTCTGAATGTGGGTGCTGCTGTATAGAGAATGCTGTGTACAATTTGGAAAGTATGCTGTATGCTGGATGTAGGTACTGTTATAATAGAATGCTAGAGTGTCCCAAAAAATTTGATTTTTGTCCAGTTTTCAATTGAATGGCTGTTTAAGCTACTTCAAATTCATAGCTACATGGTCACTGGAAATCATCCAAATATGTTTTTGTGTAATACTCCAATGTCTTAAAAGTGTCTCCAAATAAGTCCTATTTATCGCAAATTTCAAGCCACCATCACTAGCAACAACCCAAACTTTGGGTAATTGCTAATTGTAGCCCACTAACATTTTTAGCTATTTCCAAAATGAATTCAATATGAAGGTGCATATCATTACACAAAAATACTCGTTAGCTGATTGAGAAAGATAATTATGTGTAGCTATATTTTTCAAAAAGGCGCAATTTGAAAGTATCCAATTTTTTGAGACACTCATGAAGTGTTGCCATGGGTGCACTCTTGGAAAGCCATAGTTATTAAAGGATCACTAGGAATTCGGTCAATAGTTGATTAGTAGGCCTAATAATAGTCCAGGATCCAAGATAATTATCTGGAAAAATATGGACATGTTCTTTATGTTTAAATGAGCATTTTCTTTACATTCATTAACAAAAACATAACAACCTATTAGAGCTGACTTTCATTTTTCAAATGCCTAGATTATGCTTCAGGTTTTCATGTAAACAAGTAAATTAAGTACAGGGTGGTTCACTATAAGTAAATTGAACTTCTGTTGATGTTTAGGTTTTATAAATAAGTTTGAAGTACCTATTTGATGTTTTCTTAATGTTATTAGCACATTTTAATTGATTTGACTCATCAAACTACAAATTCACGAACAATTTTCCTGTCGTGTTATTTTTTTTTAGGTGAGTTCCTCTGTAAGCAAACAAAGTCCAAAAGTCATCTTAGTCTAATCAGTATCACTTTTGGTGAAAATTGCTAGACGGATTTTTGAGAGGTACCTACATATTCATTTTGAAATTTTAGTATGATGAACTCCTAGCTTTCCCCTTTTTCTTCAGAAAGTTTCATAATTCTCCCTTCAGTAGTTGTACAGAAAAAATCAAAGTGCAAGAGGATGCACTTTTGCCTAATTTGGATTTTGCAAGTTGATTTTCATTAATTTCCCATTTTGTTATTTTTCACTCGATAAGTGTGAAATTTTAGTATGATGAGCTCCTAACCTTCCTCTTTTTTCTCTTGAAGTTTCATGATTTTACTTTCAATAGTTTTCCAGAAAAAAATTCAAATGCCAGAGGATGCATTTTTGTTTAATTTGTATTTTGCAAGTTGATTTCCATTACCTAATTTCCCATTTTGCAATTTTTCACTGGAAAAGATGGAAATTTTAGTATAATGAGCTCCTAACTTTCCTATTTTTCTCCTAAGAGTTTAAGTTTTCCAGAAAAAAATTAAATGTAAGTGGGTATATATAGTCAAATCAAGTTACTTGCCAATAAGTATCATGTAGTGAGTAGCCGCCTTCTCAGACATAAACTTATGATAGTTTAAGTTGCTCGTGTAAACTGCGCTTTTTTGGATTGTATAAGAATAAGTTATGAGAAAATAAAACAAATTAAATTCAATACTTTCAAAAATTTACATTTTTATTATTATTAGAAACTTTACAAATATTCATTTATTGTAATAAACAATATAATTGAAACCAAGTTACATTAATTGTACTTGTTCTTGGGCATTATTATTAATTATTCTCGCTTTCACAAAATTACGATAAGCAAACAAAATCAAACAACATAAAATCATTGCCAGTAAAATATTGTTAAAAACTAAACCATAATTGTATGATTTGCTTTCTTCATGATGTTTTTCACTGATCAATGCTTTGGATTCTATATTTTTATCAACTGATACCAAGTTAGAATTTGAAACTTGTTTCATATTGTTTGAAATGTCATTTAAAGAATTAATTAGTGTCTGGTTAAAACTTACATCTATAGGATTAATGCGAAATATTTGCTTTATATTGTTCGAAATTTCCTTTAATGGCACAGATATATTTTGCCAAGGCACATTTCCTTTTAAACTTGTATCTACAGACTTTGTATTATCATTATAGACAATTTTTTTCATATATGCCTCTATATTAGTTAAAGAGTTTGATGTGTTAATAGCAAAATTTTGCATAAGTTTTAAAAAAAGTGTGCTTATAGTTGTAACATTTTCATTTACTTTATCTCTAGGATCATAATAAGGAAAAAGTGAAGAATTTGTACAGGATATTCCTAAAATATTACTTCCATTTGTGCTTTGATCACGAATAACGCTTACATTGTTAAATTGAAGTTTGTGAATCACTGTAGCTAATTCATTACAATTCCAAGACTGATCATTCAATAAAGTTATAGATTTTAAATACTTAAAACGATTGGATAATGTGTCGACGTCAAAATTTTCAACAGTATTATTTGAAAATTTTAACACTTTTAAAGACTTTAGTGTTGATAAAGTATGAAAATCCAAAATCATGTTGTTGTTAGATAAATCCAAGTCAGTTAGTTCACTTAAATCGTTAAAAAGGCCAAAAGGAATTTGCTTGATTTGGTTAAAAGACAAATCCAAAAGAGTGAGTTTATTTAAATTATAAAAAGCGTTAATTGGTAATGAAGATAAAACATTGTGATCAAAACGCAAATATTCTAATCCAGTTAAATTCCCTAATTGACTAAAATCAAAATCGCTCAAATAATTATAGGATATATTTAGAGTTTTGAGGGATTGCTTATTAAAAACAGCACCATCGATATTTTTTAGCATATTATTCGAAACATCTACATAAAACAGATGTTTCTGATACTCGAAAATATACTCAGGTAAATGTGTTATCCTATTTCTACTGAGGTCCAGTATTGCTAAATTCAATAGCCCAGAAAAACTTTTAGGTGCAACCGTTTCAATTAGATTTTCTGTTAAATTTAAAACACGAAGTAAAACCATCGAGGTAAATTCGCCACTTGCTAATTTAGTAAGTTTATTTTTGATGATATCTAGTTCTTCCAAATTGTCAAATCGATTAAAAAAACCTGGAACTATTTCATTGGTATTTGTTTCTTGTATTTGTAATTTTTTAACACCGTTCCAATAGTATCCTGTGGGATTTAAAGTTGGAATCGAAGAGTTTTTCAAGATAATATAACAAGGATCGCTAGAACTACATTTATTACGGATTGTTTGGTAAATTCCTAAAATATTTATGTTAAAGCATGTAAAAAACTGCAATTCCTGATACCGATTATGACCACAGTAATAATTATCCTGTGGACATCCATTGGATGAAACAACCAATGTAACTTCTGAAGTTCTATTACATTGAGCAAACGCAGCAAAGTAATGCAACGAAAATACAAGTAATTTGTAGTAAAATTTCTCCATTGCTGCTATTGCACCTGGAAAAAATATTTAAAGGGTGAAAATACGCTGCTGTTGCTCTTAAATTAACATTTTAGAAAATCAATATTGTCCAAAACTTTTTATGTATGTACTCACCCCTTATAACAATGAATGAATATCAACAATTATTTAAACACTTCTTGCGTCAAGCTCGGAAATTATAATAACAATTAAATAAGGAAGAATAATACATAATTTAAGCTTATCAATTTGTGCAGTGCTGAATTTATCAGCGTTCATCCGCTGGTACAAAAATCATCATCATTGAAGTTGTTTCCAGGGATTTTTATTTATGGTAACCATTTGTGAATTCACTGAGTGATTATAATTATAATTTTTTTATTTCGTCAGTAAGGTAAATTTCAGTACAAATAAATAACAACTTATAGTAAACTCAATTTTCCACTAATATTATCCACATTCTCCTCAAGCCCAAACAAACTCAAAACTGTTACAGATCCGGCAGCAATTTGCGTATGACCAGCATCTCTTACTAAATAAGCCGGAACTTTGGCTTCTCTAGCTTTTTCGTAAAGTTCGGTCAAGTGTTCCGCACTGATGCCTTTCAAAACAATTTTTTTCTCACTGAAACAATTAATTTATTATTGAGGCATATTTTTAAATAGCAATTCTAACCCAGATTCTTCCCATTGGTTCAAATCGTCGCCCAATTTCGCCCTCATCATTTTCCTATATAAACCCAGACAAGCGTGGCCCACTTGAGCCGCAATTTTGCCTGTGCCCATTTTTAAGCTACAGTTTACAATAAAGGTCATTTTATAGTAGGGTGTATCTTGTGCGGTGTCTTCCCATTCGTCATTGTCAACGGCCACTTCTCCTTTAAATTTTTTGGAATATTAAGAAGAATTAATTTTTGAACAGTATGAAACTCACCAGAATTTTGTTCATCAAAATTACCTTCATTGAAAATGTAATTTATTGCATCTTCTGCTGATTTGTTGCCTGTACAGAAAAGTGCCTGAAAATAATTTAATTTTTTTTTGTTTAGGGCTTGACAATGTGACGAATATAATTCTGATGTGTTTTGGAGTAGCAAGTCAGAGAAAATTTTGGACTAATAAGAGGAAGATATTGAAATTTCAAGATCATATAGTGGAAAATGACAATATAGGAAACTTTAGAAAATCAACTACTAGGTGTCTAAGGCTAAATTAAAAAATACATTTTGAATAAAATCTCTAAATTTGTCCTCTATACAAAGGGTTCCAAAAAAGGATTTTTTTGAAGTCAATTTTCCAATTTTTTCAAACCCTGTACTGAGGGGTTAACCACTCTGCTAACAAATGTAGAATGATTTCCATATTTAACAATCACTGATCAATGAATCTCATGTATTCCCATCCCAAAAATTGATTTTCTGATATTTTTGTATGATTACCAGGTGATTTCTATTTTTTTCTGGGGTTTCCTATATCATTCTCTATTGATTACCTGATTTCCTCGATGATTTCCTACAGTCATCCGATTTCCAGCTGATTTTATTACGAAAACTATGTCTGATTATTTAGCTTCACATTGATATGACCAAAATAAACTCTCTCTTAGAAATACACGTTATTTACTGAAAAATTGGCCACTTCTGTATTTGTAACTCTTCCAAAAGTTAGCAACTTTTATGTTCATGGTTGTCCACACCCACACCAATTTTGTTGTTGGTATAAATAGTTGTTGAGCCCTAGATACCATTGCAAGTCTACACTGCATATTATGGATCTAAAATAATGGATATTTCTCTGATTTCACTAGGATGTTCATCTGAATCAGAGACATCATCAGTTAGGGTTTCACTCGACAAACTTATTTCTGATTCTGATGTGCCTAGTATTTATTCTGCTTTCCCTTTTCAAGTTCTTATTGCCTTTGGATTCCCAACTTTTCTTTTGTGTCTTTCTCAAGGACATTCCCATAACTCTTAATACTCGATCGAAAAACGCTTCTCTGAAAAAAACCAAATTAAAGTTGAGCTTTGAATAATCTCCTAATTGTAGCGAATCGCAATTGCTGCAAACCCTGATGTATAAAGAAATTCTGTGTCTTCTTTTGGCAAGTCGGATTCGGGAGAGGTTTCGAGATTCATGTTTTCATTTTTATGATCTACAACATTGTCACACTTTAGGTCTGTTTTCACAGAAATCACAAACCAGCCAGAGCGAATTTCATTGGTTGAAAATAGTCAGAAAACTGATTGTTGGCGATTTACACCAATCACGCTCTGACTGTGGTTTGTGATTTCTGTGAGAACAGATCTAATCCTTATCTAGTTCTTCTTTTTCAAGTTCTAAACTCTTTGTAGTCTCGGGGATCAGTTATTGACTCAGTTATTGGAAAACTCGTTGGAATATCAAATTCATTTCAAATTGTCTAGCACTCAATGTTGCCTAAAACTTAGTCTTAAAGCCAAATACACAACTAACCGTTTGGCTGTATCGTTTAAAATGTATGGTATGCGACTTCTGGGTTAGAATGTCATGATATTCACAGCGACTACCACATGATTTTCAGCGATTGCCAATGGATTCCTATGGTATTGTCATGTAGTCCTAAAAGATTCCTAGCGATTTAAAGGTTATTTCCAGGGACTCCCAAGTGATTTCAATGTATTCCTGATTGATTACTATATGATTCCAAAAAAAAAATGTATAATGATTTCCACTAGTGGTTTACCCCTCGGTACTCTCCTATACCTACTTATGTTTATGCTTTTTTTTTTTGGGGGGGGGGGGGGGGGGAACAAGTCAGGGGTATAATAAGTAACTTTTGGAGTAAAAAGAGCAAGATTAGGGAGCTCCTCAAACTAAAATTGATCCAGCAAAGGGAAAATTTTAAAACTTTTGGAGTAAAAAGAGAAAGATTAGGATCTGATCCTAATGAAATTTCAAAATAATCTAGTGAAAAACAACATAAGAAATTCAGGAAAATCAACTTCTAAAGAATAAATTTTGGAAAATGCATTCTGTTTTTTGTTTTTTGGAGAAATACTTATGTCAGGGGTGTAATTTGTAAGTTTTTGAGTAAAAAGAGCAAGATTAGCATCACCTCAAACTAAAATTTAAAATTGATTCAATGACATGTCAGGATGTGGGAACGGAGTTTTTTATGAAAGTATTTACAGACATACCAAAGATCAAATTAATTTAAATGGTGGAGCTTAAGATTCCTATCTAGTTCTCCATCGACCTCGTACGTAAAATTCGGAGCAAAAATAGGCCTTATGATTCTTACTTATGAAATGGCCCAGATAACCCAGAAAGTGCGGGATATCTGACATTAAGAGTACAAATTAAGAATCAAACAAAATTTGAATACAATACATATAAAACATTAACTGAAAGCAGGCTCATAGCAGATCCAAACACTTTCTGGACACTCTTGAAAAATAAAAGAGAAAATGACGGAATCCCGATGGAAATGACACTCAATGCTAATAAATATAATAATTCTGTAAGCATTGCAAAATCATTTACGGAATATTTTGTATCAGTGTATAAGACATCTGACTACTGCTTAAAAGATATAGAATGGGGTAATTACTGATAAGGAATTTTTCTATGTAGATAAATATATTAGCACCTCACCAGTTAATAGTATATTAAGAGTATCTACTAATATGTTGAGCGATACGGATAATGTAGCTAAAGTTAAACGACTGCTCAAGTACAAAGATAGGATGAAAAAAGTGATGATCAAATAAATGTAAACTACCTTCTTGTTTTTTATTTTTTATATATGTTTATAAGTGAAAGTTGTGCCTGTATTATTTCAAGGATGTAACAATCATTTATTATTACTGTATACGCCCACGAGCGAGTTTACTCTTGTAGGCTTACTGTATTTATTGTGCATGTGCAAAGTTTCTTGTATTAGGTACATGAAAAATTGATCAATAAATGCTATATGTATAATAATATGAATGTACGTATGAAATGAACACTAATATTGCAATTGCAGAATATGAAATTACCTATAGCATTGACCGAAACATGGCTAAATGACAAAACCTTTACACCAGAAATAGTGGGGGGGTTTTACAATGTAATCCGGGTTGACAGAGATAAACAGAAAACGAGAAAAAAAACGAGGATGTGGTTCAATGCTAGTTATCAGAGATTGCCAACATATAGAATTAAAAGAGAGAATCATAGACTGCAATGTTCTAGATCTAGAAATTCTACTGTGTGACATTGTTATCCATGGAGTAATGTTTACAGTCTGTGTATTTCACATACCGCCTGTGAAGGCTATGCTACAGCAGTGTATGAGGATATTTTTGAAGTGTTTGAAGATAAAATCATATCAAACGATTTCAATAGGAACTGCATAATAATTGATGACTTGAATGTACCGCATCTGGATGAATTTAAACACCCAACAACAAAAATGTTCAATTACTTTTTAGATTTCACAGGTTTTCAGCAATTTTATAACATAAAAAATGAAAATGATAAAATACTAGATGTATTAGTCTCAAATGTAAGTTGTAGAGTATGGAGGAACCTCTTGTAAAGGTTGATGAACATCATAATCCACTGCTGATCGTAGCAGACCTGCAGATAATGCAAGACAAAATCAAACTTGGAGGTAATGCACAATATAATTTAAAAAAAGCAAATGTCCCAATGATGTATCAAACTTTTCCTGGAGGTGGATTGGAATGTTCTTTATCGGTGTTGTAAAGCAGATGAGGCTATATCGAGGGCTATTTCTTTTTTATATGGTAGGATTTATGAAATATTTGATATGACTGTTCCTGAGACAATTTTTAGGGTCAATAAATATCCACCATGGTTCAACAGGGAGATAAATCTGTGATATTAAAGCCAAAAATAGAAATAGGCGGTTATTTTTGAAAACGGGTATTATATATTGTCCGATATAAGAGGTGCTTTGAAAGTAAAGATTGACCAGGTCAAGCAAGTTTACAATAATGAGTTGGAGGAAAGTATAATAGAGAACAATTTAAACTTTTTCAAATTTATCAACAGCAAAAGAAACTGATCACATATACCAGGCAACATGGTGTACAACAGCACTCTGTCAATAACTCAAATATTGCTAAAATGTTTGCTATTTTTCTCAAAAGTGTATATGTACCAGCTGACAGCGATGAGAGCATTGAAACACTCTGTATGACTCACTTGTTAGATTCTGGATTTGGAGTAAGTGAACAAGAAGTCATGAATGCTTCAAATAATTTAAAACCAAAACAAACTATGGGACTAGATAATGTTCCAGCTTTTGTAGTAAAAGACTGCAAGTTTATTTTCATGCCAATACTCACTACAATATTTAACTTATGCATGAAAGAAGGAAAATATCCTGAAATTTGGAAGTTAAGCAAGGTCTGTCCAATCTTTAAAAAGGGCAATAAATGTGATATAGAGAATTATAGAGCAATGAATATATTGCCCAACTTTTCAAAAGTGTTTGAATCAGTGTTGTGCACTCGTATTCTTTCAGAATGCTCAAATGACCTTGCATCAGAACAACATGCATTTATGCAAGGCAAGTCAACATCCACAAACCTGATTACCCAATATATGTCAGATTCCCTTGAGTTGTTCAGAGATGTCCATGTGGCTTACCTGGATTTTGAAGAGGCTGTTGATAGAGTCAATAGAAAAATAGTAATTGATAAATTGACACAGGCGAATTTGCCATATTATGTCTAAATTAGATTGATCAGGTCTTTTCTGCATAAACATGAATAAATTGTTTTTTATAACAACTCGAACAATTATAAGTCAAAGTCTTACAAGTCTACATCAGGAATACTTCAAGGGTCAAATTTGGGCCCACTGTTATTTATTATATTTATAAACAACATAGTGCAAATGGTTGATCATTCAAAAATTTTAATTTATGTGGATGATATTAAAATATATAAGCATAAGAAATATCAATGATTGTCGAAATCTACAAAGCAATTTGTGCAAATTGTATCAATGGTATGTGGATAACAAGTTAGCAGATAATGTATCAAAGTGTTTTACAATGAAATTTACAGCAAAAAATAGACAAAATCAAGTAGAATATGATTACTTTTTAAACAATTTTAGGTTGAAAGAGGAAAACTCAATTAAAGATCTTGGTGTTTTATATGACAGTTTTATTAGCTTTAATGATCACGTAGACAAAATAGTGGGTGAGGCACTTAAGATTATAGGGTTTATCTATCGTAACACAAAAGATATGGGCATTTCTACAGCCAAACTTTTGTATGATTCACCTCGTGATTCACTAGCTAGGACAAAGCTAGAATATGCATCAGTTGTATGGGATTTATGTTATCAGAGGTCAATCTATACAATAGAAAATTGTCAAAACAAATTTTTGAAAATTATTTTTATTTTTACCGACATGATATGTATAATATCTGAACTAGTACCAGTAATAGTTATTTACATTACAAGTGCGTTTAAGAACATGATTACAATAACAAGTTTTGTAGTCATGTTTAAACACACGTGTGATGTACAACTTTTTATCTACAAAGCGAAAAATAAGATTTTTTTAAAAATCATTTTCGTTTATTAGTCGTTGTATACCTTCATTTTACCTTTACAGGTTTACCTTTGACATTTGTCAAATAACCAAAAATAGTTGTGTTATGAATTCATAACCTAGTCCATAACACAACTAGTTGTGTAATTAGCCTCATGACATAACTCAAATACTGGAATAGTTATTTACCTAACAAATGCGGAAAGTGATACTTTACCGCACGCAACGGCAGTTGACCAAGTTGATCAAGCCGTTAAGGGCGGTAAAGGCACTTTCTGCATGTGTTAGGTACAAAATTTTACCTATGAGCATCTACATCTCTAAAAAAAGGCATTGATAAAATTAAATATTGAATCAGATTAATTAATGAAATTAGATTAGATATAGAAATGATCAAAAATCCATTTTCTGAAAAAGAGAAGATTTCTGATTAAAAATATCAAATTTTACTTTACCGCACACTATGCGGTAAAGTGCACTTTACCGCACACTTTGTAGTCCACTTTACCGCACACTTTGTAGTCCACTTTACCGCATACTATGCTGTAAAGTTAACTTTACCGCATACTATGCTGTAAATTTAACTTTACCACACACTATGGAGTAAAGTGCACTTTACCGCATAGTGTGCGGTAAAGTGATACTTTCCATTTGCAAATACGTGCGGTAAAGTGCACTTTACCGCACGCTCGTAGGTAAAAATAGTTATGTAAAAACGTCATAACCAAACGCTTGTAGATAAATGTATATTCATTTATTTATTATTGTAAATGTATTTATATTTAGTGATTCATTTGTAAATTAGTTGGCTAAGCTAAATAAAGACTTATATATAAAAAATTACACTTTAAGAGATTCAGGGTTTACCCAGTTGATGTACCATATTATGATGTGTTGTGTATCATGGTTACATGTAAGAAGAATAGCTATTTACCTAACAAGTGCGGAAAATGAATTTTTCCGCTCGCGGCTGACGCAGCCGAGTGCGGAAAATATGCGGAAAAATATTTTCCGCAAGTGTTAGGTACAATATTTTTCCTACAGGCGTAAAAATGTAAAATTTTTCTTTTTTTTTTGACAGATCAGTGCGGTAAAATTTTTGCCGCACTGACAGCCGTGCGGAAAAACTTTTTCCGCACTGATATGCGTGCGGTAAAAGTTTTACCGCACCGTGCGGGAAAACTCATTTTCCGCACGCATATCAATGCGGAAAATCGATTTTTCCGCACGGCTGTAGGAAAAATATTTTAATGTAATGTTTTTGTATAAACTTCTTCATTATCATGTGAAAGATCGAGGGGGAATCCACCTACCTAATTTTGTACTCCAAAAATTCTAAAATTCTGAAAAATGCTAATTTTCATGTTATTATTGTCCCCAAAAATTCTAAAAATTCTAAAAAATTCTAAAAATCCCAACAAATTGGGCAAGCTCTTGAGCATGCGCAATAGATACAAATTCTAAATTATTTCTAAAAAGTTCTAGCTCAATTCTAAAAAATACTGAATAATTCTGGAAATTGCTAAAAAATACTAAAAAATTTAAAAAAATACTGATAATTCTGAAAAATTCTAAGAAATTCTGAAAATTCTATCAGTTTGCACAGGGTGATCTATTATAAATGTCACCTCCTGCTAACTTTATCATTTGATGTTTTTGACAGAAGTTTTAAGAAATTGTCAAAAGTCTTCAACTAAGTTAGTTTTAGGCATACAGGGTGCGTCAAAAAAGTGCAGGAGTGTAAAGTTATATTTTTTTAAATGGAATACCCTGTATATTGTGTGCTTATTTGTTAGTCCCCTTTAACCTGATTTAAACGATATACGGTTTGATATGCTTATCTCTCGGTTTATCTTCAATAGTTATAGGGAAAAACGCGAAAATCCCTTGGTAGGTCTCTCATGTTATTTTTTCAAAAATAATAATAATAACTTAGACTCCTGAATTTATTATAATATTTCACCTTGTATATTAATGAATAAAATTTGAACAATACACTGTTCATAAAAAAAATTCTCTAAAGCTTCAATGGTATAATTTTTCTTTTTTCAATATGAAACTTTGAAAGGGGTTTTCATGTTTTTCCCTATAAATATCGAAGATAGACATATCAAATCGTATATCGTTGAAATCAGGTTAAAAGGAACTAACAAATAAGCGCACAATATGTAGGTTGTTCCATTTAAGAGAATATAACTTCACACTCCTACACTTTTTTGACACACCCTGTATGTCTAAAACTGACTTAGTTAAAAACTTTCGACAATGGACCTTTCTCATTTTACCTGTGCTGCGCGCGCATCTTGTGGGTGAGAGATAATTAAATCGTCAATTTACTGAACACGGTCTGACCCTGACGTATTTAAGCTAACCTCAATAATCAATCAGTATCAATCAATATTGCTGAAAATTAATACAAAAACTGTTTATGATACAATGGTTCAAATGAGTTGAATGAATTCTTGTCAGAATTAGGCGAAAAAGAAGTGAAACCTTTCTTTTCACAAGTTCCCAGGCAATCAAATTGTACAAAATCAATAGTAACGTGCTCTCAACCCGAATGAAGACGATTTAAGTTGGGACAGAGATTTGAGGGTTCGTAAAATAACGATTTTTATATCAAATACAATAATAATTGTACAATTAAAGGTTTGCTGCAAACATTTTTGCCGCGGTGGGTTTTCTTTCTAATTAATGTTAATACGTATTTTGTCATATTTACGTTTAAAAATAAACAAAAACAAAAACATAACCGAAATTACACAATTTGACAAGTGGAACCAATCAAAGTCATTCCACACAGGTATCGCGCGTCATTATATGTGTCTTTTTCTTTATTGCAGAAATCCTAATAAACTATCCTTGTTGTTCATTGCATGAGAAAGGTCCATTTATTGAAACTTTTGTATTTGACACTTTTGTCAAAAATGTCAAATGAAAAAGTTAGAAGGGGGGTGACATTTATAATAGATCACCAGCTAATTCTCAAAAATTTTAAAAATTCAAAAAAATTTCCAAAAATCCCTACAGATTGAGCATGCGCAATAGGTGAAAATTCTAAATTATTTCTAAAAAATTCTAATTCAAATCAAATCAAATCAAATCAAAATATGCTTTATTGTAAAAAGAGAAAAATTCAATTCTAAACAATACTAAAAAATTCTAAATATTTTTCGAAAATGCTAGAAAATACTAAAAAATGCTAAAAAATACTGATAATTCTAAAAAATTCTAAGAAATTCTAAAAAATTCTATCAGTTTGTACACCAAAATTCTAAGGTGGTTTCCCCCTCGTGAAAGATGAATATCTGTTGAGCCTGATAAATAAAAGGGCTGATACTTTTGCTCTCGATTAACGAATTTGATACGTTGTCGAAGTTTTGCATGGGCCAAGGTCTATAAGCATGATGTGGTTAGAGCACATTCTAACCCCTGATTATTTTTAACGGCTGTCAAATGAGAGCAAAAGTACCGACACTAAGGGCCGATACTTTTGCTCTCGATTAACGAATTTGATACGTTGTCAAAGTTTTGCATGGGCCAAGGTCTATAAGTATGATGTGGTTAGAGCACATTCAAACCCCTGAATATTGTTAAAGGCTGTCAAATGAGAGCAAAAGTACCGGCACTAAGAGTACCAGAATTGAGAACTACACCATTTCCAATTCCAAGCGGCAGTAAATGACATTTTAATAACCTAAATTGTAAACAATCACCAGCCTTCCTATTGGTTGAAACGCCCTACCTGGACCAGTGCCCATGCAGGGCGGACATTTGATAGGTTGTAATGAAAATGACCAGTTTGTTATTTACTGCCGCTTGGATTTGGAAATGGTATAGATAGTCACAGATATTGACTTATGATACACCAAGAACAAATAGGCAGTTTACCTCACCTATAGTAAGAATGTGTGATATAATCAATGAAACAAATTGTGATATTTTTCAAAGTAAAATAATTATATTTAAGAAGGAGAAGGAGGTACAAAGTAGATTAGGATCATAAGGTTGTTGGGTAGTTTGTAGTTTTAGACATTCTCTGTAAATGCAAGATGTAGAGGATATTGAATAAATAAATAGATAAATAAATATTGGTCTATTTTTTAATTTTTAGTTGTCTACTAGTTGTAAGTACTCTTTACATCTTTGGTGTTTGTGAGAAGTACCTTCGAAATAAAAAATGAAATAAAAACAACTTAGGAAAATCAACTTCTAAGGCTAATTTTAGACAATGCACTCTTCAACATTTTAGAAAACAGAAAAACTGATTTTTTTTCTTACTTCTGCAGCTGCATTTCCCGCAATTCCCATACTAATTAGCACATCCAAGAGTTCTTGATTGGGTTTAAAATCGCCCTCAGGTTGGCTCATTTCGAAAACTAGACAATTCCGATATTAAAGATGAATTTTCCAGCTTAAAATTAAACCAAACTGTTTAATGATTAATTAATTTTAAAATAGGAAAACTGGGAAAACACTTTTTGAAAATTTCTAACCCAAAAAAAACATGAGGCGATTTCGGCAAGCTTTGGTACATGGTTTGGTACCCTGTTTGGTCTGTCAAATGCATACCAACCAATTTCCGATACGAAAATGATGTCGTCACCGTGACTTTGGTATCCTTTTTGGTCTGTCAAATAGGATACCGTGGTCAGCAGCACGGTTCTTCTATTTGGTATAGCGCTATCTACGTCTATTTTCGTTTTGTCCTGCTCTGGGAAATGTAAATAAATGGAAGTTCATTAGAATTTGAATAATAATTTGAAATTTTTAGCAAATATGTTTGTTTTTTCGCCTTCATCTTCCTGTTTTCTCGTATGTTTTGACTGCCAAATAATGTTTGACTATCATTTAAAAAATAACTTTGAACGACAGATATGGGGTAATTTTTTTGCTGAATGGATTATGGAATATGCTTTAAATTTACAGAAAACGCTGAGTTAGCCAGGTTACTCAAAGGTACTGTTTAGACAGTGCTGATTAGTGATTATAGATTTTAGTCAGTGCAGTCAGTACCTAGTCACTCCCAAAACTAGAAGAACAACACAAAGTTAGGTTAAGGCTCGTCTCTTCCTCTCTCATGACCTACCAAACGAATTCGGAACAAAATGGTATCTTACGTCATTACTATGACGTTGCAGGTACCAATTGGTTAACCAAATGGTATACCAACCAAAGCTTGCCGAAATCGCCTATGGTAAACATAACCCTAACGATGAAACGTCCAAACAATCACAAGGTTGCCAAATGTTCTCGAACATTACCGAATATAGTGCGGAAACAATTGCACTCGGTGCAAAAAGTTGTGTTCGTAAACTTGCACTGAGAATCGTAAAAGAAACCTGAGTGCAACATAGAAAACTGTTCTAGAGCTAAATGCGTATTTCTTTTTGGCTAGCGTTTGTTTGTTTACAGGTTGCCAAATGTTCTCAAACATTTCCGAACAATCCTTTGAACATAGTGCGGAATCAATGCACTCGGTGTAAAAAGTTGTGTTCGTAAACTTGCACTGAGAACTGTAAAAAAAACCTGAGTGCAACATAGAAAACTGTTCTAGAGCTAAATGTGTATTTCTTTTTAGCTAGCGTTCACGTGAGGGATTCAATCAAATCGATACTGAAAATCTAGTATTGTATACGGATATCGATATCGATAAATCGATGCTTTTTTTTCCATAAAAAAATTCATCAAACGCATGCGTATCGAGGGTTGCGTTAAAAATTACGGGCTACGGACTGTCTTCTGTCAAATTCGGTGTATTAAAGAGCCCCAGTCACTTTTCCGGAGGGCGTATTCGAAGGGCTCGTTTTCGATAAATCCAGCTCCGGGCGATTTTGGCACTTGGTTCCGCTTTCGGGTACTTTTTCCGCCGGTTCGCGTCGCGATTTCGTACAAATTTTCCGCCGCTTGTTCGCTTATTATTACAGACCTCGCCCGAAAAACAACTCAATTTTCTTTTAAATACGTTCAATAACAAATTAATAATAATAATAAAATAGCAACAATAATTGATTGCAGTGTAAAATAATTAGGTATTTATTTATGATGAGTTTGGGCAGATCCTGGGTTTGTTTACAGTCGGCGGAATTTGCGCAAAGCTTGCGATTTGTTGACATTTTTGCATCCAGGGGTCTCGATTTTTTTTCGCCATAAACAAATTATTTTATAATTTCTTTTAAAAATCCTATTGACTTTTAATAATCAGTGATAATGGCCGAAGAAGAAGTACTTTTCGACGAAGTTTACGATCTTTGTGAAGAAATTGGAAGGTCAATATACCTAAATATACAATAATTTTAAATTTAAGTTTTGTTGAAAAAATCCTAGGGCCTGGTTTATGCAGTTTCAGATAAACTTGCTGGTAACTATCTGACTGCAAGATAAAATTGTTTACCGTTCTATAAAGCTTAGTTCATATACTTGCGAATTGCAAAAAAAGAATAATGATAATGATCCTATTGGTTGATTTTAAATATGTCAAGTGGCGGGAAGCCTATTCAACCAATAGGATCATTATATTCGCAATTATATGAACCAAGCTTAACTGATCAACCAATAAGATTACAGATTGCGTTTTTATCCCTCAGATTGCATACTTGCTGAGTTTATCAAAACCCAAATAAACCAACCCTAAATTTTACAAAGTAAGGACCATTAATTAGGTACTGATTTGTTAATTGTACCAACAGCTTTAATAAGTTACTAGAGTTTCAATGAAAATTTGAAGCGTTTTTAGAAGTTCCTAAAATTGTTGGTTTAAAAAGAGATATTTTTTTTTCTTCAAAATATGGTTTTTACTTTCTTGACATATTGGCGTAAGAAACTAATTGAATTAGGGCTGGTTTTTTCACCTCCTGTCAGGTAATGCAATCTGGCGGATAAAAACGCAATCTGTAATCCCATTGGTTGGCCAATTATACTCCTATCAATAGGATTAGGATTATAGTCGGATCGTTACAGTGCAGATGGTTACCAAGAAGTTTATCTGAAGAAGAATAAAGCGGACCTTAGACAAATATCCTAATCAAAAGTACCTAGTTGTATTGAAATTTATTATCTTTTGATTTGTTAGGTACCTATTTCACCTATTTTCTAAAAACATTAGTTTTCATTTTTTTTAGACTTTTTGGCAAACCAGTGGTGGATCCAAGGGGGGGGGGGCACTGGGGGCAAGTGCCCCCTCTAGAATTTTTCATGTTACACATAAAAAATATATTCTTTTGAATAGTAACATTTTCTCTTGGGCTTTCAAGATTATTTCAACTGATTGGTTTTGGGTTGTAATTTGATGGCAGCTATTGATTTTGGTGTTTGATGCAGTATAGAATTGTAAATTATAGCTTTGTTCCAACTCAGCAGAAAATCATAATATTACGATCAGGATTCTGCTCAAAACCTAAAATTTTTGTGCAGAAACCAAAATTCGTATACCTACAGACTCGTTCGGAAACCGTTCTGAAATAATTTTTTGACCGGTTGCAACAAACTTTTTAATATTTAAGTTTACCTATGTATTGAGTTTTATTTTTTAGAACAAGTCTATGATACTATATTCCTTCGCAAAAAGCAGGTATTTTAAACCTAGACACAGGGTAATTTTTTCTATTTTCCCACTCCCTTAACTTTTTTGTGCCACTGTGTATAAAAAAAATGTAAATAGGAAAAGTGTATAGCTTAAAAAATAATTCTCAGAAAACATAGTTTGTGCATACAGGGTACCGCAGAAAGTTTAAAAAACAAAAAAATATATAATTTTTTAAATGGGACACCCTGTTTATTATTGGATATTCTGATTCTACCTACGTAAAATTCTGAGCAGATTTTATGTGATATTCACTATACCATACCTAAGTTCAACTGTTTTGGAAATATTGACAGTTGAAATTTGACTTTTTTGTAGGGTGACCATATTATTTTTTTTGTATGAATGCTGTACACATCTTAAATTTTGGGACAGGTGAGTGGAGAAAGCACTAAATGCAAATTTTGTCAACTTTACAGCCCATTTTAGTACCACTTAGGGTTTTAAAAAAAAAAGAAATACATAACATAATAGGTCTGTTCGCACAGAAATCACAAACCAGTCAGAGTGAACTTCATTGGTTAAAACCAAGCTTGTTTGAAAGAGGTAGTATGACTTCATCTGGATGCCTAAACATAATACAAATCTCCATTAGATTTTCCCGATAACGTCATCTGTTTACCATTACCAGACAACCTATTAACTTTAGGTCTGTTTTTGCAGAAATCACAAATCAGGTTAGCTAATTTCATTGGTTGAAAACATTCAGAAAACTATTTTCAACCAATGAAATTCACTCTGACTGATTTTTGATTTTTGCAGAAATGGGCCTAAAACGGAACTTTGGGTTGAAACTAGTTTTCTGACTGTTTCTGACTATTTAACGAGCTATTTAATTCAAATGATTTTCAACCAATGAAGTTCGCGTTGACTGTTTTGTGATTGATGCAAAACAGACCTATTATGCTGCAAAGGTAATTAGCATTAAAAAGAATACTCTGGGAGATGATGGCGTAAATGACGTAAATCGCAAATGTGGAAATATGTGCGTTTTTATTCTCATCGGTGGATTCACCGATGAGTTAGCTATCTTTGTTTAGTGAATGGAAAATGACAATGACCGACATAGAATGGTGGATATCGTTAAAATTTGATGAGAATAAAAACGCAGGGAATGTCGTTAATAATAATTAATTGACGGACAATTTTTCAAAATTTTTTTTAAAGAAAAACCTAATTATGATCGGATTTCGAATCCGAATCGCTGTACGTTTGCTGTACAAAATTAAATGCTGGACAGACTTTGAAAATGTTGTACAATACAGCGAAATGCTGTACGTATGGTCACCTTACTTTTTTGTAACTTTGACAGGCTGTAAAACCTGAACAGTTAATTTTACAGCAAAACTGATGTTTTTCAATCATGGATTAAATTCAAAGTTGGTGTCAAATGATAGTTTATGAAAATCTTAGAAGTGAATGTAAAATCGGTATTCAATATACAAGGTATTCCATAAAAAAATATACTTTTTTGTTTTCAAAACTTTCTGCAATACCCTGTATAAATAAAACTATGTTTTCTGGAAACTATTTTTCAACCTATACACTTTTTCTATTTACGTTTTTTTTTTTTATATACAGTGGCACAGAAAACTTGAGGGGGTAGGAAAATATAAAAAAGTGACCCTGTACAACCAAATTATGATATTAAATATCGTTGAAGGGCCCAAAAAAAAAGGCGTGGCACCCTAAAATTTTTTGCCTTCGGCGATAAGCCTCCAGTGGCTACTAAATGAACACGTTCTCAGATTAAGTGCCCCCCCTTCCCCCCGAAAAGCACTTCTGGATCCGCCACTGTGGCAAACATTGGTATTTCCTAAGAAAACCTAATTTTTTGAATAGTTTCTCTAGATTATTTCCTTTTTTTTTATTTGTTCGTTGTACAGGGTGTTTGTTTATAACTGGAACACTGCTCAGTAACTTTTTTAATATTGAAAATAAAAGACATGTTTAAATTGGAAAATTTCTTGGTAAATTGCAACGATCTTAATAGCTGCAACTATATTTTTTTGTCACCATAGGTATACAGAGGGTGTCCCAAAAAATTCATTTTTTTTTCAAATGAAACGTCCTGTATATTTTTGCATTTTTATAATTCTTAGAAAATTAGCTCCACAAAAATATCAAACAATCAGGCCTATGATGTATCCTGTCCTATTTTGATGTATAGAATAAACAGTGACAGATAACTTAACGTTGCTGTTAGAATAACAGAAAATGATACATCATAGGCCTGAATATTTGGAAAACAAAACTATACAGGGTGATCATTAAAAAAAATCAACTTTTTGGCGCACCCTGTATTATACCTATGACGACAAAAAAAATATCGTTGTATCAAATCAAATCAAATCAATTTATTGGAACAATAATATTAGAATACACTCCAAAAGGAAACTTATACAGTAGAAAAGTAGAAACTGGTAAGATAAATAATTACACAAATTAGTCAATTAATAAAAAAATAGATAATATACACACTATTAAAAAAGATACACATTTTTTCCAAAGATAACGGTATTACAAACTAGTCAGTTAATAATACCCTCGCATACAAACACACCAAATAAAAAAAAAGAAAGATACACAGTTTTTCCAACAGGCTACAGTCAAATAAAAGTATCAGTACACCGAGCTCCCATGGCGCTGCATCTCTAGAAAACGTCTTTGAAGGTCGTTGCTGAACCTCAACAAAGATGTTGAAATGTCAACTCCAAGAATGTACGTGCTTACTATCTTGGGGGCTGTATAAAAAAAACAGCCAGTAAATTTTGTTGTTTTATGCTGGGGAACGTCATAATTATTCGCGTTTCTCAGATTTCCAGCGTGTAGCTTGTTTCTTCTTGTCAGTGCATCAAACAAGTAGGTACTGAGGAGCCTTACTACGTAGAATGTTAAACAAATGTTTAGAGAAATATAGTGCAAACTTATATTCTATTTTTAATATCCTAGAGTCATTATAGCAGGGCATGATATGATCAGGATATGGTGTACCAAAGCTAAATCTAAAGCAGGAGTTTTGTAGCCGTTGAATCTTATTCATAAATTCACCAGACAAAAAACTATAGTAAACAGACGAACAGTTATCCAAATGACATAACACAAATGAATTGACCCCATTTGGTATCAGATGGGAGACAGTACTTACTTAAATTTATACAGTGACTTTAATTTTGAATAAGCTAAACCTATTTTTTCATTAACATGAGCCTCAAAATTTAAAAAGGGATCTAACAAAACACCTAGATTTTTTATCTGATCAGACATTCAAATGTCTAGTCATTTAACCTAATCGTTCAATGATTATTTAGCACTTTGCCACAAGCACTTTTACTTCCCATACACATAGCCATACTTTTATTACGGCTGAGGAAGAGACCATTATTCTGTGACCATTCGTGAATTCTTTGCGAAGTCATATTAAGCACATCCACAGTAGGACCGGGAATCTCAGGATCACCAGAGACACACACTTGTTTATCATCAGCATATTGATGTATTGTGCACATATCATCCTAGAGTAATTCATGCAAATCTGTCACATAAATAGAAAAAAGTAAAGGACCAAGTGGACTTTCCTGCGGCACGCCTTTAGTTATTGGTAGCTCACACATCTTCATTCAGAGAGACTCTCTGCCAAAATAGGCCATAAACCAGTCAAGTCCTGCCCCGTGGATTCCATAGTAC